TGGTTTCATGATGGCAAAAGAATAGCTGCAGCAAACATAAGACTTCACTGGTTACATAAGCCACCAGGTGTGTTGGCAAAAGACTGGCACAAATTATAGCAAGAGAGGAGAAAAGACAATAATAATGTGTGTATGTGGAAAGGTAAACATAAGTAAGTTTTTACTTATCACCTAATTGCACCAGAGAAATTGAGAGCTGTTTTGTTTGTTCATGGCTCAATATCACAATGGCTGTTGCAGATCATTCCACATATGTCACCATTCAAGCAGATCTGTTCAAGTATTTTCATGCAATGCCAGAAAAAGATTTCTAATGTTAACACAAAATTCCTTCTAGCAAAGTATTTTTTCATGTTTTGTGAATGCCACTCAGACTATCATGACTCCAATATATAGGCTACTATATTCAAAAAAATTCTTTAGTCTGGATAAATATTGACTTATAGATTTGGAGATTTTTATTTAAGTGAGCAAGATCTCTGCAAAAGTTTTTTGGATTTGGTGCAAGATATGCTATGAAAACGTCAGTGGAGCTGCATGGACATTTTAGTAGTAAATAAAAAATAGCATAACCAGATTCATTTTTTGTTTCTCTGTGGTGACTCTGACATTCCCATTCATTAATGTTACCTTAAAAATTTGACTACAAATCAACACTCAAAGGTTTTGAAGTGTCAGTCTGTAATAATGTGTCAGTTACTATTTCCATGATAAAACTTTTGGAAATTTCATTTCATTTTATAACTGTACAGTTTTCTCCCCACTTCACCAGTACTACCCTCACCTCCCATCCCCAACTACATGGGTTAAATACATCTCTAAATATTGTCATAAAAATAGTCTTTAAAATGAGAACCAGTCCTTGAGGTGGAAATGGCATACAATGTTAACAAATTAATATTCCATCTGTCGTTTGCAGAAATAAATGTGCCTGTGTTTTGTTCTCCTTCCCCGACCTCAATCCCAGTATGCTAGTATCAGTGATGACAGCAGGCATGTACAGGCCACTGGGGGTTTGTTTCTCAGTTACTGTAGCAAAACAATAAGAGTCTGTATATCCCCACAACACTACTAGTATAAGGTGTGTGTGAATGTTAAATTTTTAAAAATATCTCTAATTTAAAAACGGTGAACAAAAATGTTGAAGGTTAAACTGCTGTGGTAGATGCCTTAGGTTCAGGACCAGTTGTGTGAAAGTGGACTATATCTCAATTTTTAGTAGGAATGTTAGTATGTAGTCATTTTCACAATTAACCAATAAACCCAGGCTTATTGGTTAATCCTAACCACTATACACGCACACATCCTTGCTGCCTCTGTATCAGAGGCAGCAGGGGGAGGGGGAGCTGAGAGCCGGTGCCCACGGGGATCCAGCTTTTAAGCCAGTTCCCTGCACAGGCCAGCTCCCATGGAGCTCCCCCCACCCATTGCCTCCCACAGAGTCAGCAGCGTGGGGGGGCAAGCGGGAGCTGGTGCTCGGAGGTAGTTGCCTTAAAAGCACCAGCTCCTCCCTGCCCCTCTCCCGCATGTAAACATGTAACTGCTGAAAAATCCAGCAGTTACATGTTTACACAAATACATCTTCGTTAACACCCCTAGTTTTTAGATGATGCAACTTTACTTGTTTTTAGGAGAGTGGAGATGGGGGGATTAATGCCTTTGGTCTGCAGAGGAAAGAAGAGAGCACCTGTAATAGGATCTCCCAAGTTTGGCATCAAAATCTGTCTTTGCCTCATTTTCCCAGCTCATATAATTTGGCTGGCTGCTTCAGTGAAGCTTCCACCAGTATTGATGTTTTATTCCCTTTTCCCAGAGTTGCATTTATGGTTCAAAAAGAAACAAAGTTTGATTCAATAAAAACAGTTTCTGCCACCTGCCAGTCCTTGGGCCTCTGCCTCGGAAGGCTTCTGCTGCTGCTAACTCAGGGAGTGGGCAATTATTTTTAATGGGGGGGGGACACTCAAAGATTTTGGTAAGTAGGTCAAGGGCCGCACTTCTATGGCAAAGGTGCAGGGCCTGGGATAGTGGGTGTGGTGCAAAAGGGAGTTTGGGATAGAGGAGTAGGATGCAGGAGAGGGTATGGGGTCTGAGAGGGAGTTTGAGTGAAGGAGGGGGTTATGATCTGGTGCAGAATCCAGGAGTGGGTATAAGTGCAGGATTGGATTCTAGCCTAGGGAAGGAGTGTAGGAGAGCATGCAAGGTCTGGGAGGGAGTTGTAACCTGAAGGATATGGGGAAAAGGGATACAGAGGGTTTGGGTGGTGACCTGGGGCAGGTAGTTGCGAGGAGTGCAGGGTGGGGGCAGAGTCAGGCTGTGACTGGGAGACACTTACCTAGGCAGCTCCCAGCCAGCCGCTCTGCAGAAACCTAAGACAGGCTCCATTACTGTCTGATGGACAGCTGTTCTACATGGCTCTGCTCCAATACTGGGAGGGGAGAAGGAAGGGAGGGAGGAGGCTTTGCTCTGCCTCTGCCTTCAGCAAAAATTCTCAATTCCTATTGGCTGGAAACTGGCCAATGGGAGTTGAGGAATTTTGCTGGGAGCAGGGTCAGCACACAAATTCTCCCATTCCTCCCCAGCTTGCAGAGCAATTAGCAGCCAGCTGTTTAAAACAGGTTATCTGCTCTGTTGTAAGGGTGCTGGTGAGGTGACTGCTGGTGAGGTGTGCCAGATCCAGTGGCTTGGTGGGCTGGATCCAGCCCGCTAGCCGCCTCTTGCCCATCCCTGTGCTAACTGGTATGGGAAGTCCTCTTTCAGGATCTTTTTCGGACTCAGAATCTCCTGCAAGCGCTTCCCCATCCCATCCTTAATTGAGTTGGTTGCTGGCCTTCTATCTCATCAGACAGGAGGCAACTGACTATATTCCAAAGAACTTGGGCTATGTTTATACTGCAGCTGGCAGAAAGCCTCACAGCCCAGATAAACAGATTTGTGCTAGTTTGGGCTCGTGCTGGTACACTAAAAAATAGCTGTGTAGACTTTGCCACACCAGTGGAGCTTACCTGGCTACCCCAAGTCTCCACTGGTGCGCTCATGTCCACAAAGTTATTTTTGTCATGCTAATGCAAGTCTGGTTAGGCTGGGAACTCACAGTTGCAGGGTATATGTACCTTTAAAGGACCTTTCCATCCCGTGACAGGCCCTTCCACAAACATCTGTTGTAGACTATTTCATGTAGCAATTTCAAACATTTTAGAAATTATTTTCTTGTTCTGATGAAAGGAAAAGAGTAATTACAGCTATTGAAGGATGGGATCACTCTGACAATACTTCTAGTTTTGGTTGGCCCAGATTAAGGTGTAATAAGTTCTTAACCTTTGTCAATTGGAAGGAGAAAATCTGCATAAATCAGGTTAACTGTACATCATATTAAAAAATTCAGTTCAAACTAGGGAGACTAATGAGGGTGACTGAAATTGCAAATGAAGCGCAGGATTTAAATATCCCACGCTTCATTAGCATGTTCCTGGGCGGTTGCCGTTTTGGAAGTTGACTAGCCCGGAATAACTGCCTGCGTCTACTCGCGGCAGTGAAACGGGAGTTCAAAGTAAAGCCCTTAATTCGAATTAGCTGTTTAACCTCATTCCAGGAGGAATAACAGCTAATTCGAATTAAGGGCTTTACTTTGAACTCCAGTTCCACTGCCATGTGTAGACGTGGGCAGTTATTTCGGGCTAGTCAATTTCCAAAATTGTGACCGCCCGGGAACATGCTCATGAAGCATGGGATATTTAAATCCCACGCTTCATTTGCAATTTCGGTTGCCCCCATTAGCCTCTCCAGTTCGAACTAGGGGACTAGTGTAGACATACTCTGAAAGGAAATGACGGTTGTTTGTCCACTTTGAATGTTATTATAATCTTTCACACTTGTGTTTTAAGGGTTTTGAGCCATAGTGTGAATTTAAGGACAGCATGTCAACCTTAAATTGAAACTTCCTTTCTCTTTATTGTTGTTAAAATTTAATATTAAAACTTAGCCTCTTGTTTTTGGCTTCCCTTATAATTAATAGCATAAGCATATTTAAGCGCCTCTCATTAGAACTTTCAGTCTAAATATATGTGTGTAAAATTACATTACAAACTGTGTGTGTGTGTGTGTGTGTGTGTGTGTGTGTGTGTGTGTACACACACAATTTTATTGAAGTTGAAATGAAACACTGCAGTCAGGTTTTCAGTCTCTTTTAGTATTTGGGGCCTTTGGAGAAGGAAAGTTTCCTTCTGCTAGGGATGATGCTCCCATCTCCAGTGTTGTCTGACTGATTCCTCTATTCCTTCTTCCTATTGCTCTGAACTCTTCCCTCATTGTGGTAATATTTGTTTTTGGTGAGGGTGAAAGCCTGTGTATTTGAAATTGAGCTGAATTTGTTACTCTAATTTCTGTCCCAGATTTTATGGATATTTTTATGATGGATTTTTCAACAGGATCGTGTATAAATTCTACATATAGATTTTTTTGGTATAAATTATATGATCTTGTGAAGGCTGGTAGTCTTACCGTACATACCCAGATTCATTGAAGTTGTAAGTGAGAGGTTCCTATGGCTACTGTGAATAATAGCTACAGATCTGAATTGCAGATACAAACCGTACATATGGGCTCTAAACTGAACACCATTAACTTCCCTGAAGTTTTCAGTCTGGCTTTCAAACTATCCCTCTCCTTCTGCAGCCTCCTCCTGCTCCACTCCTTCGTCTTCACCCCAGAAAACACACACACTGCAAATTTAAGTGTGTTTGGAATGAATTTTGTTTTTCTTGTTCGAGAAAGATTTGAATATAGAGGATCTCTGGATCTGTCTGTAATAAAATCTATGTTGCTATCTAGGACAATTTTTTCTTCAACACACAAATATTACAGTATATTTAAATTGAAGATGCAATACGTGATATTTATTATGTAACTTTGAAAATCTGAATTTCTTCTGAATGATAAAATCGATAATTATACTGGTAGAGTGTGTCATTTGGGACTACCTTTTTTTCTCCCTCCACTAACAGATGGTTGACCCTACTTTAGCAGAAATGGGAAAGAATCTTAATGAGGCCATGAAGATGTTAGAAGACCCTGAAAGGTATCTACAAAAATAATGGCTGCAAAAACTGCAGATGTGTTACACATTTAAATATTGATTCCAGTGTCTTTTAAGCAAATGGGATTTTTTCCCTATAATTCTAGGACATTGTTACCTGCTGTTTGTATTTAATTTCTGCCATGTTAAAAGCAAGAATGTTTCTTGATTGAGGGTGGTGTTAATAAATATTTGTGAGACCAGTCCAATGTATATTTTGTAGAATTCAGCCTAAATCCAACTGAGACACATTTTCTAAAGATTTTGACTTGCTCTTCTCATGTGAACCATGGCTCAACAATTAACTTTTACTTTCATTTTACATGATATACTGACAGGTTTTCAACAGCATTCTAATGCATAATCTTCAAGATTTTTCTTCTTAAAGGAAAGTTAAATCAATTCTTTTTAAGGCCATAGTTAATTAAATCTTATGTTAGTCTTGTCGGTCCATTCAAGCTACATTCTGTGATCTTTGTCACTTGTGAACATGCCAATGTACTTCTGAGCATCAAACTGCACTAGGAATTTGGTGCTATGCAACAACAACAACAACAAAAAGTAACTCTTTTTCTTGTATTTTTAAATTAGAAAAATGGAGGAAGAAAATGAAAACAAATATGCAAGGAAGGATATTCCTGGACCACTCCAAGGCAGGTAGGTGACAATGTGCATTCAGCATACAGACTGATAAATAAAATACGGTTGCATTAATTTTGAAAGGCATTTATAATATTATGAATATTTACCTGCTGTGATAACAAAAGGTTACCCACCCTTCATAACTGTTATTTTTCAAAACGTGTTGCTCAATTCCATTCCAGTACGTACATGCACACGCTGTGTGCGTAGCCATCAGAAGATCTTTTTTCCTAGCAGTAACCATTGTTTGGCTGTAGAGCCTTCTAGAGTGATGTTTCAGTGGTGGTGTACATAGATCCCTGCCAGCTCGGCACCTGTTCTGGAATGGACATGAGCAATACATCTCGAAGAAGAATTATAAAGGATAGGTAACTGGTTTTTCTTCTTCGAGTGACTGCTAATATGCCTTCCAGTGTGTGAATTACCAGCAGTTGGAATGGAGGAGGGATCAGACATCAAAAAGTTGATTGTTATACTGCCCTGCAAAATGCAGCATCATCACATGCTTGCTGGATAATGGCATAATGTGCCATAAAGGTGTGCACAGAGGACCATGTTGCTGCCCTGCAGGTGTCCTGAATACAGAGTTGTGCCAAAAATGCCGCAGAGAATGCCTGTGCCCTGGTTGAGTCTGCTATCAAAGATGGAGCCAGCAATTTGGCTACATTGTAACAAATTTTAATACATGAGATTATCCAGGATGAGAGATACTAGGATGTAATTGGAAGTCCTTTCAGTCGCTCAGCTATAGCAACAATGAGCTGCAACAATATGCGGATGGCTAGGTACACTCAGTATAAAAGGCTAAGGCATGCCTTGCATCCAAAGAGTGTAGCACCCTCCTCTCCCTGTCAGTAGCATGGGACTTTGGGAAGAAAATGGTAAGAAAAATGTCCAGATTGCATGAAAGGAGGACACAACCTTTGGCAGGAACATGGGGTGTAAGCGCAGCTGCACTTTATCTTTATAAAAGATAATATGCAAGGACTCAGGTAAGTTCCCTCAACTCTGATATCTGTCTGGCAGAGGTGATAGCCACCAGGAAGGCCATTTTATATGAGAGGTACAACAGCAAGGAGCAGGTAGCCAGAAGCTCAAATGGAGGCACCATGGGCAAGGAAAGGACAGGATTACAGTCCCATTGCAGTATCGAGTACCATGCCTGCAAGTAGAGTCCGTCCAAACCCCTGAGAAATCGACCCAAAGAGGAAACCTGTGTTCCCCCTGCCCCCTCTTCCCAAGCCTGGGTGGAATGCTGAAATTGCTGCCAGATGAACTTGAATCGAAGACACAACCAGGCCCTAGGGTTTCAGGTAAAGGAGATTAGTTCAGGAGCAGGGGAATGGTAGCTTAATGAGGGGGATATGCCCTTTTGGAGGGACCAAAGGGAGAACCTCTTCCCTTTTGTGAGGTAGGTAACCCAAGTGGAAGGCTTACAGCTGCCCATTAACACCTTCCTGACTGAGTCCGAATACTGCATCTTGGGGCAGGTCAGTCATGGACTTTCATGCTGTGAGGTGAAGCACCTCCAGGTTTGGGTGCTGTAGCTGGCTAAGGTCCTGCATTATGAGGTCCAGAAGTAGAGGAGAATCATTGGCCTGTCTACTGATAAGGACAGCAGTGTAGTGAACCAGTGCTGCCTGGCTCATGCTGATGCTAAGAGTATGACTGCTGCCTTTTCCCACCAAATCTTGAGTAGGACCCTTTGGCTCATGGGAATGTAGAGAACATATATGGGATGAAAAGTGTCCACTATGGAGCCAGGGCTATGGCTCTGCAATGTTTAGCACCTACTGCACCTCTCTTCTGGCAATTCACAAACAAATTTACCTGAACATGACCCCACTTCTGGAAAATGATGAGGGCAACCTCTGCTTTGGAGATCACTCATGGGAACTGAACAAATGGCTGAGGTGATCTGCAAGGCTGCACTGTGCTCTTGGGAGATGTGAGTCTTGCGGCTGTATGTGGTGGTGAATGCAGAAGTCCCGTAAGCTGAGGGCTTCCTGGCAAAGGGTAGAGGAGCGAGCACTACCCTGTTGATTGATATAGAATATCTCTTCAGTGTTGTCCATCAGGGCCAGGGTGCAATTTCCTGCAGATGGGGCAGAAACACCTGGCAAGCCAGGTGAACTGTCCTGAGCTCCCTGACATTGATAGGCAGCAATAGTTCTATTTGGGACTGTAGCCACTGGGTCTAAAGGTCATTCAGGCATGCTCCCCAATCTGTATCTGATGTGTCTGTGATCAGAGTGATCACTGGTTGGTGCTTGGCAAAGCGGACCCCTGCTCATTCCACTCGAGGCTGGATCCATGAGACGAGAGATTCTAGGATCTCTGGGGGCAGAATGACTAGCTGATCAAGCTCTCTTGGGATTATCTAGAACACCAATGCCAGCCACACTTGAAACAGGCAAAGGTGTAGCTGGGCGTGATGTAGAAACATGGGTGCAAGAAGACATGTGCCCTAGGAGTTTGATACAGTTGCGATCCATGGTGGTAGGGCTTTCATGAAGACTGTAGGTGATGTTCACCATGATCTGGAAGTGTGCCTGTGTAGAATTGAGAAGTGTCAATGAACTCGATTCATTGAGTAGCAGTAAATCTGGACTTGGTTACATTTTTAGGATATGACCAAGGTGGGAAAATTTGGGTCTTACCAGTTATTCATGGCTCAGCACCTGCTCTCTGGACTCACCCTTGATGAGCCAGTTGCCTAAATAGGGGAAGACTTACACTCCGTTCCTGTGCAGGAATGTGACAACCATTTATAAAAATGCAAAGCGCAATGGCCAGGCTGAAGGAAATTGGTAATGTTGACCCATCACCACAAAGCCGAGGAATTGTCTGTGGGCCAGAATGATGGAAGTGTAAAAGTATACACCCTTAAGGTCGAGGGCACTGTACCAGTCCTCTGGATCTACGGAAGAAATTATGAAAGCCTGAGCTTCCTTATGACCACATTTAAGTTCTGGAGGTCTGGAATGGGGCACAGACACATACACCCTGGCTTTGGGGTTAAGGAAGTATTGGGAGTAAAACTTCTTGCCTCTGAACTCATGTGGAGCCTCTATCTCACCCAGGGCATGTCCATGCTGGGAAATTATTTCAAAATAACTAAATTTGAAATAACTCCCAAAATAACTATTTTGAAATAGGCTTATTCCCCAAGGAAAGCAGCAGTATAGAGTTCAAAATAACCAGCTCACTATTTCGAAATAACTCCCTAGTGTAGACCAGGGCCCAGAGTGAGAAGCAATTGCACCTGCTGGATAAGGAGTTGCTTGTGAGAAGGGTCCCTGAAGAGGGACAGGGAAGAGGAGAGAGAGGAAGGTACAGAACTGGATAGCATATCCCATTCACACTGTACTGAAAACCCCGCGGTTCGAGGTGAACTTGGCCCAGGCATGGTAGAAGTAGTTGACAGTTCATAAAAGGTGGGGAAGGATCTGGGATGGGAATTGGTGCTTTGCCTTTGAGTGCACTCTCAAAAGTAAAGCTTTGAGCCCAGTATTTGCTTGAAAGACCCTGAGCAGACAAGGGCCAAAGAGGGCCCCTTCTGTTGTTTCATTTACCCCTTTGGCAGGTATGGTCCTGCCTGGGCAGTGTGGAGTCTGAACTAGGACTGTAAAAAAAGTTATTTAAAAAGGTAACCATGTAACTGCTAAAAATCCAAGCAGTTATGCACACTGGGGGCTTTGCAGTCTAATTTTTATACTGCAGAACCTGCAGTGCGGACTGACAGCTGGCTCCCCAGGAGCGTGCTCCCAGGGAACCAGCTTTGCTTTATCATCCGCAGTATAAAAGTAATACTACAGGGCCTGCAGCAAAGCCACCTCTCTAGGAGCCAGCATGTAACTGTAATGGAAACTGATAAGCTGATGCTTATTGATTCAGTGTTTAAACGGTTACCCTTTTACGTCCGTAGTCTGAACTGACATTACTGAGGGGCCATTGTATGAATCCCCAAGAATTTCAAGGTGGCTCTGGAGTCATTTAGACTGTGCAGGCACAAGTAATTTTTGTTGGTGAATAGCCTGCTCCATTAAGGGGCAGGCCCTGGGTCATGTGTTGAACTTTTGTCAGGAGCCCTGACACGTGTCCCCCAGGAGCTGTGGTGCATGGTGATAGCTGTGGCCATGATCTGAGTTGGTGAGTTAATGCCACTTGCAGGGCTGTAACTCCTGCCTGGCATCAGAGAAAAGGAACTCCTGGAACTTGGAGAGTGTGTTCCATGAGCTGAAGGCATATTGGCTTAGGACTACCTGCTGTTTTGAGTTGAGTATATCTTATGACCAGTGTTCCCTCTAAGATTTTTCCATCCATGAGTACAGTGAGTTTTGTCTTGTGCACCAATATTAAGGTCACATGTGCTTGTTTGGATGTGTGCCACTGTGGCACCCAAGTTATAAACCTCTTCCTTTTCCCCTCAGCTGCCGTGTGTCTGACCTTCCCCTTGCCCCATTTGCTCCCCTGGTGCCTGCTGCTGCCGCCCCCCACTCCTCATCCTCCTCTGTTGTCCTGGCTCAGAGAGCCCAGGGCTGTTGCTACACTTCAAAGGCGAAAGTGTTGCAAGGAGCATGGGGCCAGCAGGGGACTTGAGCAGTGCTCCCCACAGCATTTCAAAGCAGCAGCACCACAAGGAGCCTGTGCTCAGCTGGGGACTTATAGCAATTACTTATTGGATAGTTGACTAGTTATCATCCTTAGTTTGGATATCTCTTGGTCTTCATGTACAGTCTAGCACTCCCAGGGCTGAATGATTGTTTAGTCAAGTTTGTCAGCCCAGATTTTCAGATTTCCCTGTGTGGGCCAGTTCCTTAGACCAATTAAATGTCCCATGTATAAATCAGGAGACACTCATTGATGCAGCAGTCTTCCCACTATGATCCCACTGTATCAGGAAGATGGATAGGAGACTCCTCTATTGACATCTTTTTCCCCACCACCCCAAACAGGGATGTTAAAATGTGTTTAAGCAACTGTGTAATCTCTGAAAATTTTAGCAGTTATACGTAAGGTGGCAGTTGGCTCCCTGGGAGCCAGTGCGTGAGGGAAGCTGGCTTTTAAGCCATCTTCCTCCGCTTACTGGCTCCCCCCTGCCCCTGATACTGAGGCAGCAGGTCAGGACAAGGGAGGATTGACAGCTCCCCAGGAGCCAGTGCTCGCCCACGTGTACCGGAAGCCTACATGTAACCAACATTCTATGGAGCAAACCCTTTGTGGCTTGTAGCTAACCTGTTGTAAGTGGCCTTTTCATTAGGATCTTTATGCTGAGGCACTAGAGTTGCTCATCTGTTTACCCTTTTTCCTTCCCTAGTGGGCAAGATATGGTGAGCATTCTCCAATTAGTACAGAATCTCATGCATGAAGAGGAGGAAGAAGAATCATCACAGTCTTACCGGTAATACTAATTTGCTTTGTTCTATTTGGGAAATTATACTTGATAACTATTTGCAGTGATCATTTTTGAAGCTACAAATTTTACACTTAAAATGTTTTTATAAATTTTAAATTTGTAACAGCGTAAGCTTTTTTAACTATAACCTTGTTACATTATACATTGAACCAGGAGAAAAAGTAAAATGTGGAACTTGTCTAATAGGAATTCTTGTAATAGTCCTGATATCAAATACTGAGTTAAAATTCTGTTGCTACCAATGATTTGATGTTAATGTTTTCTTCAAAATAGCCATACTCTTTACTGCAGTGAATTATTAAAAGCAGTTGCATATATAAGGAAATTATTCCTGGCCTGATAACTCAATTTCTTTAAATGGGCCTCAATGTCATGAGCATTGCTTATGTTGGCTGCATTCCGTCAAAGCTATTTTTTTTTATTTCAGAACTTTTAGTTGCATCAAATATAGTATATTTGTAAATTACAAGTTACATAGTTTCTCTGTATATAGATTTTTTTTAAAAACTTGGGTAAGATGAGGCCAGGAATATGAGCCACTGAATTCTAATCCTTGCTCTGGGCTTATTTGTCGCATTGACAATACATTTAACCTCTCTCCTCCCATTTCTCCATAAAATGGTGATAATACTAGATAGGGATGTAATAGTATAGTCAGTTAACTGATTAACTGATAAGCAAAAGCTTATAGGTTAATGGTATAGACTACATGCATTCTCTCCCCCTTTCCCCCCAACCCCCAGTTAATTTTTTAGCAGGCTGGCCAGCAGCCCAGCTCAGTCCTGGCTTGCGCCAGGTCCGGGAGCTGAGCCTCCATCCTGGACAAGGGCTGATGCCACTCCACTCTGCTGCCTCTTTGTCAGAGGCAGCAGCACAGGGCAACAGCCAGCTGGTCCGTGAGGGCAGTTGGATTTTAAACTGGCTCCCCTTGCGGACCAGCTCTCACCTAGCACCCAGTGCTGCTCCCTCTGATACAGAGGCAGCAGCACAGAGTGCCAGAGCGCTTCTCAAGAATGGGGGCAGGAGCACACTGGCTGCCAGCTCCACCCTCAGGGACTATAGACTAGTTGAATAACCAATAAAAATTCATGAGGTTAATCGACTATTCAATTAACTGATATTTAACATCCCTAATACTAGACATCCTACCTGCACAGGAGTGTGGAAGATCAATATTTGCAAAACAGTGTGAAGATATAAAATATTATGTAAATAATAATTATGAGGAAAGGTATAGTCGCAATTTTAAAATTTCATAGTGTCAACTTTCTCCTTTTATGGATACAAAGCCTAGAAGGGCCCACTAAAATCCTGTTGTAGAAGTGGTAGTTATGGTTTTAATATTAGTGGGTTGAGATAAATCTTAAAAGGACTTTAGAGTTTATCTCAAGCTGCTAAAAGGTGTTAAAAGTGCAGCTTCCATGTCTACACTGATTTTTAACATGTTAACTAATGTGTTTAAAAAGTCACCTTTTCTCCCAATGTAGACATGGCTCATTTGTACATCATTCTGATATATATTTGAAGAAAATATTGCATGTAAACCACTTCAGTGACAATCTGGATATATCCAGTAAAAGGAAAAAACATAAACCCATTATAATATGCACAATATGTATCAATTTGACAGTTATTCTGATATGATGATTCTGCTTTATAGAGTTCAGAATGTTGGAGAACAGGGTCACATGGCTTTATTGGGACATAGTCTGGCAGCTTATATTTCAGTACTGAACAGGGAAAGGCTAAGAAAACTTACAACTAGAATCCTTTCAGATACCACTCTGTGGCTTTGCAGACTCTTCAGGTAAGTCATGAATTGCTTATTTATAATGTACAGTTACAGTAGAAAATTGTTTTAAAATCTGAAATATGATTTTTATCTTGATAGCCTTATGTCTTAAATGATACAGTGAAAGGTCTTAAATATCACATACTTGTTTACAGGATTATGTTCCTGAAAGCCAAGAACTTGTCAATAATATACTAACCATAAAAACGTTTTTATAAGGAATTTACAATGCAGCTAGGGGCCAAAGTACAATGGGGAGTAGAGAGATAATTAAATATCCATTTATATAAGCATATCTATGCTGTTGAACCTTGTAACACTTTTTAAAGAAGGACTCACAGCTAACCTCTCATTGGTTCTGCCTTAGATTTCAGTTAGTCTTTATGTAAAGAACAGCTGAGGAATTTTCAGTGTAGTGCGTATATTTCCTGAAGGTCTACTTGAACTTGTAATTTAGATCCATGAGTGGAGAGAAAAGAAAAGTACAAGAAATACTTTCAGGTGAAAAGAAACTTGGTCAAACAGCTAGGTGATTTCCTTGACTGGCTTAATTTCATATAAGATTATTACTCAAAGTGTCTTTGTCTTGAGATGCGAAAACAACGTGTATGTGAAAACAACATATTTCTGGTGCCAGAGCAACTGACTTGTAGATTTAAAATGGAAATCTGCTGCTGCTAGTGTAGGAAATATTTTCCATTTGGTAAAGGAATAACTTTTGTGTAAGAGAAATCTTCTGATATCTCCTTTAGTGGTAATCTAGAGGTATTCCCTATCTCCACAGTTCTTGAAACCTGGGTTAAATGATCAGTCTTTCTTGATTCCTGGACTAACCTAGTTTGGACATGATGTAAAAACAGTATGTTAATTTGCAGACATCAAGAAAGATAATAGGGATACCTCATGGTGTTCAGTAGGACCTTTGACAGAAAATTATATTGACTGTCTCCAAAGAAAATAGTTGTGCCATTCCTCTGTATTGAAGTACTGTATATGGCTATTATATGCAGTAGATGATCAGTGACAGATAACTTGTCTCTGTCATGAAGGGATTATAGTGTAGAGCACTGACAAAGAGAAATTGTGCAACAAAGCAGACATTCTCAGAAGTGCGATTAGCCACGAATGTCTGCAAACTGAGTTTTAAAGTATTTGGGACTGTAACTTACCCTTCCCTTGCTATGTTGGCTTACAACGATATTCGGTGCTTTGATATGAACCAAACCCCAAGAATCTGAAGGAAACTTAAAGAAAATTTAGTCAGGAATTATTTCACTTTAGTATTACAACATTTCTTTAGGTTTTGGAGGCTCCTAATGGGGTGCTTAGGCCAAGTCTACAGTGGCACTTTACAGCATTGTAACTATCTGGCTCAAAGGTGTGAAAAATCACCCTTCCTTCCGTTCCACGGCATGTTACAGTGCTGTAAAGTGCCAGTGTGAACCAGGCTACAGTCCACATATTGTGGCCACGCTTTCAGTTGATAGTGCTGCTACAGCTGCACTTTAAACTGTTAAGTGTAGACAAAGCCTTAGTCTTCAGTGAAAAGGATATACTGTCCATTAGGTGTCTGAATATCAAATCATTTGAACCTTCATGTAGGAAGAAAGAATGGGGTGATTTTCTGTAAATGAACTGCTGAAGCGATAAAGGAAATAACTAAAACTGACCCAACTGTGGATGGATTACAAATTATCCCCTGCTATAGATAACAAATGAAGGCTTGTTTTAGCTGCATACAGTGACAAATAAAACTTCTGTAGAGCCAATATAATCAGCATTCTCTAGCTGATAAAACAAAAGATGAATGAATATCTGTATTTAGGTACTTAGTAAACTCTTGCATGTCATTTTTTTTTTTACCTTTCATGGATATGAGGCTAAGTTGTGACTCAAAAGATGAGATATAGTTGAGTTAAGGAGAAATCCATCTATTTGACAGTTTATGTATTGATGATCCTAATACTCAGTCTTAGAGGAGCAGTTGGTTCCATTCTGACACTTAGTATACACTGCAGCAGTGATTTCACGTCAGGAGTGAACATCTGCTGGAACAGGTGTGCAGGGTAAGGTGAGTGGTATATTTAGGTTTATACCTGCTTTTACATGGTGTATCCCAAAGAGTCTGTGAATAATTTTTAAAATGTCTCTAAAAATATGTTTAACTTATCTTTATAGTTCACCAACAAGGTGTCATGGCTACCATAAAGAATGAAGGAATGTCACTCATTAGGAGTCATTTGGGTAATTTATGGTGAGGCTAGATGTCACAGGACTCTACATGTGTGACATACATGGACATAAATGATGTAGCAAAAATCCAACTTTCATGCCATTTAATAAATCCAGACCTATACTATTTTTCCTCCTGTTGTCCCTTCATTTTAGTTAGGTGACTATATTTTTAGGTAGGTGATCATACCTTTATCAGATGTCAGATTCCAATGTCTCTTTTTGGGCTTTAAGCAGTAGTGTGCATAGCACTGCTGAAGCTGAAATCCTTAGTTGAGAGAGAGAAAAACCAATTAACTGCTAGTACAGGTTAGGGCTGTAGGAGACTAGTTGACTATCCAATAAGCAGAAGCATATCGTAACTAGTCACTTTCCCCTTCTCTCTTGCCTCTATTAAAGAGAGGCAGCAAGGTGGGGGACCAGGATCCGGTGCCATGGGCGGCAGGGGAGGTAAAGGCACAGTGGAAATGGCGCAAGCTTGTGCCGCTTCTGATGCGATTCTGCTTTTGAAATGTACCCATCAGGACTCTTCTACATTGCACAGGCTCAGGTGCTCCAAGCAGTTTGGGACCAGTGGGGGAATCCTCTGCTGGCCCTGTACTCACTTCTGCTTTTGAAATGTACAAGAGCCCTACTAGGGCTCTTGTACATTTCAAAGGCTGAGACACTGCAGGATCATGGGACCAAAGGGGTCTCCCCCGCTGGCCTCGGCCTCACACTCCCTGCCATGCCTCAGCCTTGTAGATGTACAAGAGCCCTAATGGGCTCTTGCTACAGTTCAAAGGTGGAGGCCCCCTTATAGACTAATCTATTCAATTAGTTAATTAATCTAAATTTAACATCCCTAGTGCAGATTTGTAGTCCAGCTTTCTAGGCAGTAGGCATGATAGCATACTAAATAAACTGCACTAAATGGTAGTCTGTTTTTGTTTCAAGGAGTGTTAAAATAGGCAGGGCTCAACAAACTGCTGATTCTACTTGCCCGTGGCGAGTAGATTTCAGCTGGTCACTCTGTGCACCCCGTTCACCAGCGCTGCGCGCATGCGCACTGCCGGTCTGGTGCATGCGGGGTACGGGGTTGGCGAGTAGCTCTCACTGCAGTTTGTGAAGCCCTGAAAATAGGACATGAGTAACCTTGGGTATAATTGATTTACTTGGTAGTGTCTTCATACTAAAGTTTGTAAGATCCTAACCATATTTCACTCTAATTTAAAAGTAAGTCATTTTAATGTTCATTTTACAAGATTGTTATAAGACTGCATTATATTGCACCTTTCTTACTGATTCTTATAGATGTGAGCCACACCCATTTCTGGGTTTTTAATAATGGATTTTTTTAAAGTGAAAAATGTTTCCATCTTCATTTTATTATCTGGTTGCTGTACTCAATGAACATAAGTCTGAGAAAATATCTTTGCAAATTTTGAGGATTTTAAAGAGAGGTTTTCTTCTCAAGTCCCTTCATCTATTTTGTTGTTGCTGTAAATAGAAATGAAATGTAAACTAGGCTTCTATAGCTTTTGGTCTGTGCCAACTTAGTTTACTGTGTTTACATAGTTTATTCTTAGTAAATACTTTTTTTTCTTTTTCTTTTTCTTTATGTCTCCAAAGTCCACTTCTGCTATTTGTGTTAGAACCCTGAACCACTGAATCTTCTTCTTCTTCATAATATTCATCTTTTGGAGTCACAAACTTTTGTGATATAACATGTCCCTAGACTGGATGGGGGATATTAAATTAAAACCTTATAAAACTAGAATGAAAGATTTGTCATTCATCTGATTTCTATTCTTAGCTTCGTTTTATTTGTAATGATCTGGGATTGGATAGAGCTGCCAATTTAATGAGGAGCCATAACATACAGTATAGCAGCACTTAAGTACTTTTGTTTCAGATGCTATATAAATCAATAAATGTAATATAGCAGGGACAAAGGAGAAGATTTGAAGCAAGGAATTCCTGAAATCTAAATCTTGGCTCTGGTCTTGGGCAAATCACTTAGCCTTTCTGTGCCTCAGTACTCTGTCTGATGATTAATGATCTAACTCTTCATAATTTATCTGAGATAGAAAGCACTTTTATAACTGCTCCGTATTTACACACAGTAACTGAACTGGGACTGTGTCTGTTGGTTTGTCTTACAGGTATGAAAATGGGTCCGCTTATTACCATGAAGATGATCGTGAAGGTCTCTTAAAAGTCTGTAGACTTGTTATTCACTCTTGCTATGAAGACTATACAGTAGAAGGATTCAATGTGTTATATAATAAGCAGCCTGTTATATACATTAGTTTTGCAGCCAGAACAGGCTTGGGTCAAACTCTCTGCAATCAGGTAAGTAGTGGTTTAAGTATAAAGTTTTGAGTCTTTGTTGCATATAGAATGTTGCAGGCATCATCAGGGCTATTGGCAGCTCAGATTTTGAGCATGGATCTAGAGTCTCACAGGTATGTTGCAGTAGCAAAAAGTTTTTGTGTGGGTTGTTGGGGGTGCATGGAGGAGCATCTACTGCTACGTTGTCAGAGGGGCTTTACTCAGAGTTTACCAGTGAGATACTCTGTCAACCAGAGAGGATCTTTTTGAACGAAGTGAGGTTCTCTGACTCCCAGACAGCTGGGCATGCTGTGTCTCAGCAGTCCTATTTGTGCATTCTCATGGCCCTCAACATCCTAGTGTCTGGGCTTCTTTCAGGTAATTAAATAACAGAAAGAGTCTTCCCCTGCTCTCTTCCTTCCCAGCCTGTGGAAGAAATAGCATTTATAGTATTTTTAGGTGAGTGTGTGTATGCGCACTCCAAACTTAAGTTTTCTTGTACTGTCATAATGAACCAATTTTTTTTAGTTGTTTTTGACTTGACATTTCTAAATTTTATCTTTTAACCAAAGATAGTATCAACTGATGTATGAATAAACAATGAAAATTACAGATAAAATTGTCTTTAAGCCAGCCAAAGGAACGATGAGAAACCATGCCTCAGAGCCAGCCAAAAAAATCGGCAAAAACAATAACATAATGTAAAGCTTGTAAAACTATTTTATTAATTCTAGGATTTCAAAGCAATTCCAAAACATAAAGAAGAACATAAACATATTGGGAATAAAATAAAATAGCCCAGAATGGAGCTATAATCTAGTTTACAGTGTTCGTCTGGACAGCAAGATGATGTTCTTATATATTCCAGCAGTAGTGATGCGAGAGATGTAGAGAGAAATTTTCTGAACTTTTCATATGAAAACAATTGCATCTGATACTTTTTTTTAAGAATGATTATTTCTGGTTTATGTAGACATTTCAGTATAATATTCATTTCCTTTTGCATTACAATCTTCTTGTTTGAAATTGTGTTGTCACTAAAGCATTTCTAAAAGATGGTTCAATTTACTGCTGAATTTTACTTTGTCTTAGGAAAATTTTTCTGCCTCCAAGATCTTTGAAAAAATGAATTTTACAGAATTTCTACTTGGAATAGTGAACTTGTAGATGGGGCCTGAATAAGAGAAATGTGTGGAGGTTTTTAAATTTAATCTTTGAAAAATGGTCCACATTATATACAATATTCTGTGATTAAAATACATGGAAGATGTAGCATAATTTATATGAAAATTTCTTGTTTTAGCTATTACACAATGATAATTTTGCATAAGTGAATATATTTATACTATCAACACAACTCATGTGCTTCAGTGTTTGCTGGATTAAGGCCAAAGTGCTCTGCTCTGCTGAGTATTGAGCCCATTGTTCAAAAAAGATTAGTGTTTTATCTTTTCACTGAATGACACTTGTAGAAAACCTCTGCAGATAAGATACAAATTCTGAAAAATATGTAGATTTGTTTTCCTCCCCTTACTTAGGTTACAGGCTGTAATTTTATAACTGTTTTGTAACTTTACAATGATCTCCTTTTCTTCTTTTTTCTCCACTCTTAGTGTATCAGAAAACTCATTTTTAAATGCAAGAAAAATCACTGGTAGCAGAGCATCTGTTTCTTTGTTTGCTTCATTCAGTGGCTTTTTTATTCCTTCTTGAATTTCTGTGAGCAGTTTAAATAAGTAACATAAATCACAGGTGAGCTGCTGAAATTCCATCCTTCTCATTGCAGCTTGGGTTGCCGCTTTCATGCCTGTGCCGCGTGCCTTGTAACACCATGTTTGGATCCCAGCATCAAATGGTAAGTTTTTTAGGTGCTGTCCTTTTATATTGGACTTTTCTTTATGCTTTGCAGAACACTTAGTAAAGATTGAAAATGTAGTTAAGAAAAAGTGGTGAATGTTTGACCTTTTCATCTTCTGAGTTTTTGTGATGTAGATGTAATAGAATAGTGGCTATGAATTAGCCTTAGCATTTTAAAAGTAATCAAATGAGAAATACAGTGTAGCACTAGTGTCCTGAACTCTGTATTTATTATCTGCAGCATTTTAGTTGCAATCACTAAGGGCTTTTTGGTTTTGAGAGGGGCAAATTTTTAAAGAAGTTTAGGCTTGAACATTAAGCTTTTTGTTGCTCTGTATGACACTGGTGATTAAATGTTTCCTTTTGTTTTAATAGATTCCCCCAATTAAAGTCCTTTAAAGTTTGTTACAAAAGCCTGATTTTAGAGTTGAAAGATGAACACTTAAATATATTAGGACTCAATAAATTCCCACAGAAGTCAATAGAAAGACAGTCTTAGCTTGTGGCATTGGGAAGTACAGGTTGGACCTCCGTGGTCTAGCACCTTTGGGACCTGACTGGTCCTGGATAAAGGAGTTTTTCTGACGGAACATTAGCTTCCCCTATGGCCCCCCCTCCCCAGCCACCTGGTACCACTTCTCCTGGTTGCAGCAGCCCCACTGGCCTGGCAAGCTTCCGCAGCTCCCACCAGCTTCCCTGCCCCGCAAGCTGTGGGTTCTGGTGCTCCATTGGCCCTACCAGCCAGCTCGGCTGCTAGCCACCAGCAGCCTCTGCTGCTGGAGTGCTCTGGTCCAGCAACATTAGTGATCCTTCTAGACCACAGATGTTGCCAGAGCAGAGAGTCCTGGACCACAGATTTCAACCTGTCCTGTTGAGTCCTTGCTTCTTAAGAGGAGTATAAATCACATAGGTTTCTTCAGAGTTTCGAATTTACACTGGACATAATTAGTACCTACATTGTATCTGTGTATGGTGCCTTTGACTTTTTTAGTAATTGGGGTCATGAGAGAATGGGGACATTGCAAACTCAGACAATGAAGTATCAATCATTTAATCAGTGGATCAGCTTTTAAATGCCAGGATACTATCCTATGCTACTTTTAGAAACCCCAATTTTCCAGTACAAAGAAACATCCTATGTGTCTAATGTAGTGTTTATTTTTTCTTATTTCTGACAGGATGTTGCTTTATTAGACAGATTGATTAAAGATGATATTGAATCTGGAAAGCTGCCACTGTTATTAGTGGCAAATGCTGGTAAGTATCCTGAGCAGATAGTAATAAAATTGTTTCCTAGGAAAGATATTTATTTTTTAGAATTTGGAATTGTAGATAATATTGATGAGTTGTGTTAGAGTAGATTATGATTTTCTTTTCTGTTGTCCCCCCTCCCTCCCCAGCACCATCTCCAGCGGGGGAGAGGGGGCTGGGCAGGGAAGGCAGAGGTGCGGGGGGGTGGGAACGGCACAAGGGGGACTGCTTTAGTCCCTGCTCACTCTGGGCTCCCTGCTGCACCTCTGCCTTTTAAATTCAGTAAGAGCTGTGGTGGCTCTTACTACATTTAAAAAGCAGAGGCGCAGTGGGGATAGTGAGCGCCCCACCTCCTCTTATCGACTAATCAAGTAGTAAATGGAAATTCCATCGACTATTCTATTAGCTGATTAATTGAAATTTAACATCTCTAATGCTCTGCATGACTCAGAGCTCCACCGTTTGTTCCTTAGTGAGCACAACCTAGCTCAACAATTCTGAAGAAGTTTTCTCTGGGGGACGTGCCATTAACTTCAAAAATTCACTTTCTCTGAATGAATAATTGAACAAAAATATAAATTCCTCTTTAGAAAGGAAAGATCTATTTATTCAGTTATTTTTGTAAGTGGAGATAGAAGGAACATATGTGCTTGCTTTTTTCCTTTAGAAATAATAAGGGTATCAGATTTGGATTTCTTCATTTCAGCAGAGGTCAGTTTTTGAATTAGGTGTATTTTAGAAATGTTTGCATTTTTGAATGATTATGGCTTCTAGTCTTCTAAGTACTTTTAAGTAAATAGATAAAAAACCACAGAGCCTGAGTACTGTGAATATAAAACCACATTCCCAGTCAATCAAGTTGAACTTCCAGGATATCGAATGTCCTGATTGCGTTGGCTTACTCTCCAGTTCTTAATGAGTCCATCAAGAAGACAAGACTTAAATTTCTAATAAAAAAGAAATACACCAACCTTTTTATTTTTTTTCCTTTGGGTGATGTTCCCGGGGGTGGTCCACTGTTGGTGACAGGTCATCAGAGCTGCAGAGCCAAGTTTTTTGGAGCAATTGTCAGCAGGCCGAACATGCATGAAATTGCTTTTCACTGCTCCCATTTCAGTGCCTCTCGTGTGCAGCCTGCTCCCTGTCCCCCCTTCAGTTCCTCACTTACCACTCCTCGGTTACGGACGGAGATCTTTGTTCTCCTCAGACTTTCATCCTCCTCACAGAGATAGTTCAAGTAATATTTACCTTTTACTCAGTTTTTTTCTTGTTAACTGTTTGTCTTTTAGTTCTTGTAAAAAAAAAAAAAAATTCTATCAGCTCCGAATGTAGTTGCCAGCAGTGCTGGCATCCCTCCCCTTGTTTAAAAAGAAAAATAAAGGGGAGAGGGCAAAAGAAGATAAAAGGAAGTGGAGAGTGACAATTGCAGCATTTTAGATGTTAACAACGCTCGAGCTTTGCACAGACTCCATAATGCCGGGCTCGCCAGGCTTTAAGAAATGTGAGACATACCACAAGCCAATGTATTGGACAAACATTCAAATGTGAACTTCTTTCTAGACTGTCACATGAGACCTCCTTTCGAGCACATGGCGACTTGTCCACTCCCGTTCCTTCTAATGAAGGTGCTATTCTTGACAGCTATTACCTCAGCAAGGAGAGTTAGTGAGATAGGACCTCGATGGTTGGACCACCATATGCAATTTTCATCAAGGACAAAGTGAACTTGTGACTGCACCCAACATTTTTACCCAAGGTCAGCATGGAATTCCATGTCAATGAGCCCATAGAATTACCAGCATTTTTTCCTAAACCTCATGCATCCCCCAGGGACATTATGCTCCATACCCTTGACATTCGCAGAACTCGGGCTTTTTACATAGATAGGAAGCAATCATTCTGGAAGTCCCCACGCCTCTTCATATCCATCGCAGCACGTTCGAAGGGCACACCAATTTTCATTCAACATATCTCCAAATGGATATCATCAGGGCTCGACAAATGCACTCGCCCGCTTGCCCGTGGCGAGTAGATTTTTCCAGCTGGCGAGTGCAGGGGCGGACTGGCCCGGTGGGCCGTTGTGACGGGCTGGCTGAAGCCCGCACTATGGGCGGCACAGCCCCATCCGGGGGGGCACAGCCCCATCCAATCTGCCGGCCAGTGGAGGAGCAGAGCGCTGCTGGGGAAGGGGAAGTGCGGCGATTCTTCCCATAAGGCTGCCTGCATGCAGCTCCAGCACAAGGAGGCGGGGCGGGATGCCAAAAAGCTGGCATGGCCTGGCCCAGCTGATTTCAAAGGGCTGCAGCAGCTCGGTGTGTCCTTGAGAGCTGGTTGCGGCGCGCAGCACAGCCAGGGTCCTCCCCGCCGGCTCCAGTCCTGCCACGGCCCCAGCCCCCCATTGTCTCCGCACCGCCCGTTCCCCATGCCTCCGCTGCACCCCGGACGCCCTGCTCTCCCTCTGCCCTGTGACCCTTTGGCTCTGCGCCGCCCTTACACCCCGCACGCTGCTCCCCCCGATCCCTGCCCCCCCCCCCAGCTTTGTGCTGCCCATTCCCTGCACTGCCCCAGACCCCGATCCCTCTGCCCCTCCTGTTCCCTATGTCCCATTCTCCGTGCCTCCACCGGACCCCCGGACCCTGCTTCCCTCCAATCCCTGCCCCCCCCCAGCTCTTGCTGTCCGTTCCTCGCGCCACCCCTATACTCCTCCACTGTTCCCTGCATCCCTCTGGCTCTGTGCTGTCCCTGCACCCTGCTCTCCCTGAGGGTCGGGAGTGAAGGGTGCTTGCCCATAGGCAGGGGCTGGACAGGGCAGGGAAAAGGCTGCTGTGCCGCAGCAGCGAGTGAAAGGGGGAGTTCATTTGAAGTGCCTTTGCCTTTATGGAAAAAAAATGAAAATGCTATTTGTTATTTATAGGACTAAAATGCCGGGACAAAAAAGAAAACAGAAAAAACCCTTTGCAAAATGCAAACGTGTAAAAGACAGCAACAAGGGGGGGGGGAATGTTTTGCTTGGGGCAGCAAAAAACCTAGAGCTGGCACCTGGGGAGGGGAAGAGGAAGGGGCTGGGTTGGGCTGGGCTGTAGGGAGGGGAGGGGAAAAATATGGGGAAGGGGCTTGTGCTGAGGGGAGGAGGTCAGGAGAAGAATAAGAAGAAGAAAGGGGAAGGCACCAAGGGATAGGGGTGCAGGAGAGACAAATGCCAGGGGGCCAAGTGCAGACAATGAGGAAAAGGGCAGGAGGGGAGGTGTGTGCTCTACAACCCTGCCTTCTTCCCCTCAGAAAAACTCCCGTCATCTGAAGAAGTGGGCTGTGCCCACGAAAGCTCATGATACCATCTACGTATTTTGCTAGTCTATAAAGTGCTGCCAGACCATTTGTTGTTTTTTAAGTTTATCTTGGCATCTTAGGGAGCGTCCAGACTATCGCGCTGAGCCGACAAACAGCTGATGAGCTGTTTGTTGGCTCAGCGCGGCAGCCATGTAAATTTAAATGAAGCGGCGATTATTTAAATCGCCGCTTCATTTTACTGTGTCGGGTAGCCTAATCTACATGCCTCTGTCGCCAGAGGCATGTAGTCTAGATGTACCCTTAGTTACTCAGGGGTAGGCGAGGAACTGAAGGGGGGTGTCAGAACACGTGCAAGGTACTCTGTGCATGTGCAGTCCACTGACAATTGCTCAAAAAAGCTCTGATCTGCAGCTCCAGAGTGACCCGTCTCCAATAGTGGAGCACACATGGGAGGAGACACCTCCAAGAACAGTCATTATTGCAGTGCAAGTAACTTCCTTTTCCCCTTGCCGATGACCTTTCAAACAATATTTTGGGTTATCTTCTCATGTAACACTAGCATTGAAGGTTTGCAGTCAAAGTTTGTTTGCAAACTGACACATCTAATATTTAGAATGACTTTTCTTTCTTTTCAATTCAGGCACACCAGGAGCAGGTCATACAGACAAGCTTGGGCGATTGAAAGAACTTTGTGAGCAGTATAACATGTGGCTACATGTAGAAGGGTACAAAACTTGCAACTTCTTTCTGTGTAATCATGTTCATCAGTGAAACTTCTGATAAATGATGCACCTGAAATTCCATAGCTAACATATTCTAATGTCCACAGCTGACTCTGCATGTTTGCCATTACTAAATGCTTTATGTGCTATCATAAGTATGCCTCACTACAAAATGTAGAGCCCTGTAGATGTCACTTTTTGTTGCAAAAGATGATTCCTGTATATGTAATTACCTAGCATGGAGTCAGTATATGGATGTGAGTAAACTGCCCCCTGCTTTGAAGTGCTTGGAACTTAGAGACAAGACACAAGGTAATGGCTCATAGGGATTATTGAAGAAGTGAAGAGAGGGTGGAGTACTTGAAGAGATGAAATTTAGAGGATTAGAGCATGTGTGGAGGCTAAGAAAATAGTGCAGTGGGCAACATGATTAAGAACAGGAGTAACAGCATAAGTAGTGTGCATAGTATAGCATAGTAAGGAGCCCCTGCTTTTACATGATGAGTCCCTCAGAGCAGACCAGACTCTGTTACCTATTTGTCCCTGAGTTACCACTGTACACAGCTATGTACCATCATTTATGGCATGCTTTGAATTATTGATAGAATGCTACTAATGAAGTATGGTAAGTCAATGGATTAATATCTCCAAAATAAAATTTTAGTTGGTCTGAATTCTGGATTATTAAATTGCGATATCTACTGTATGTGAAATAAAAAAAAATACATAAACAAAAATGACCTTTTATACAACTGCATGAAATATTTAAAATGAAGATTAAAACAACATCTTTTTAGTTGAAGAAAAGATATAAATAATTAATTTTTGCTAAAATTTATTTTTCGTTTACAGAGTGAATTTGGCAACTTTGGCTTTAGGTTATGTCTCCTCTTCAGTACTGGTATGTACTGGTGTGTTGTAAGTATAATATTCTAAACTTTAAATTTTTTTACATAATCAAAATATATGTGGTCCATAGTAAACTTAAATCTTTCCTCTTTAGGCTGCAACAAAATGTGACAGCATGACTCTTACTCTGGGTTCCTGGTTGGGACTCCCAGCAGTACCTGCAGTGACACTCTACAGACATGAGGATCCTTCTTTGGTAGCTTTAACTTTTTTTATGGACATTTAGATACTGAAGACTTCTAACCTGCAATTGTGACATGATCCTTCATTCCTAATAGATGCCTAAATAATCAATAATTTGCAAAAGATCCTTCCATTAATGTTGTGATGTGTTTTGTGCTTTCAAAGTGTTAGAATGAATCAGGTGGTACTGAAAATAGTTATTCAGTGATAGAATTCTTTCTTGTCTTTAGTCCTTAGCTGCAGGCCTGACATCCAGTCAGCCAGTAGAGAAACTCCGTGCCCTGCCCTTGTGGCTATCCTTGCAGTACCTGGGACATGATGGGATTGTTGAGAGAATAAAGCATGCATCTGAGCTGGTAAGGAGTAATTTGTCTTCAAATGACACACTAACTTTTGCTTCTCTGAATGTGAGCAGGAGGATCTTTCTGCCATTTTAATTGAATAAGTTCATTTTTCAAACAGAAAGTTAGTTTAAATGTCAGTGTGTGGTTTAGTAAAGGTTATCTGGGCATCAGTAGCACTATGTAATGGTTCACTTCTTTATTTAAGACCACTTTGATAACTGTTTTTAATAAATCTTTGAATATGGTGAAGCATCTGAAAAACAAATGCAGCAGAATCCGAAATACAGTGAATTGTTACCGGATATTCTGAAGGTGACATATTAGTGCATACTATGCTAAGGCCAGCTAAGTTGACAGCTAAAGAACGGCACTTCTTTTTAAGCTATGTCTTCTTTTGCAGGGAGGGAGGGAGTTAGGAATTGCAAAATCCTAGTGCAGGGGTTGGCAACCAACAGCACATGTGCCATAAGTGGCACATGAGCCAATTTTGAGTGGCATGCATGGCAGGAGCTGTTTGGAATTTATAGCTTTTCAGTGGAAACAGATTCACAGCAATGTGTGGTAAATACTGTACATGCAAGAGAGCATTTGACCATAACCAATAGATGATTATAATTATTCTTTCTGTATTCTTCACAGAGATGCTAATTCTTCTCAGGTGTTTGGTGCTCTGTTGAAGTTAATACATGCACCCAAAGGCTGGCTGTAGTACATAGGAGCTAGTCTTTCCCAGTAGTATGCGGAAGCTTATACATCCACAGTTTTTTGAACAGACTAAATAAAATGTACATTTTATCTATAAACCTTATATGTATACATATGTGCACATTCTTTGAGCCCTACAATAAACCATTTTCCTAAATAAGATGCTGTTGAAATTGTACAATATTGGTCATATTAATTAGACAAAGATTCTTGTTTGTAGCATTGTAAATTTAAACTTTGTAAATGTAAGCTGACACTTATGGATGCTGCGTTAGTGTTGTCAATGCCTGTGAAGAGTACCTTTAAACAAAAAATATCTTTGTTTTCTTCTTTAGAGTCAGAGGTTGCTGGAAAACTTGAAGAACATGGATTTCATTAAAACTTCGGTACAACCTACCTTTAATGCTTGGAGTAGCTTAGCAACTGGTGGCTAATAAATATAAAAATTTTATAAACAAATTATCTAAAAAGAATGTGACCTGCCTATAGCCTTACTGGTAGTGGTATCATTGGGTATGTCTAGACTACATGGCTCCGTCGACGGACCCATGTAAACTAGTTTACCCGACATAATCAGTGAAGCGGGGATTTAAATAATCCCCACTTCATTAAAATAAAAATGGCCACCGTGCTGTGCCTACGATCAGCTAGGCAGTCTAGACGGGGATCGGTCGACAGGGGAAGCCTTTGCCGACCGCTCCCTTATGCCTCCTGAAACGAGGTTTACAGGAGCGGTCGACAAAGGCTTCCCTTGTCGACCGATCCACGTCTAGACTGCCACGCTGTGCCGGATCAGTTGATTGTCGGCATAGCATGGTGGCCATTTTTATTTTAATGAAGCGGGGATTATTTAAATCCCTACTTCATTGACTATGTCGGCTAAATTAGTTTACATGTAGTCTAGACATACCCATTCTGATTACTTGAAGTTATCCCTTGAAGTGTCAGTGGAATTGTGTACATTTAGTTACATATAGCAGGACTTAGTCCCTAAATTATATTCCTTGTCCAACTGCTATTTCTTTCTACACACACTCAAGTTACAGTTATAATGTCCAGAGGCTGCCTCTGTTGCTGAGTAGCACTTAACATATTCAGACTTATTTACTATTCTTCTGTGGTGCCGTTTATAGTAATTGAAAGTCATTCTTGACTATAGATTTCCCAGCACCCTGGACAGATGTTGATATGATGTGTATATTCTTACCTCTGTAGACAAAGTAATCATCTTGCTCTGAGGGTGTTATGATATAGGAGAGTGGTGTTTGTTTTAAAAAAAAGTCAGTGCTAGTTTTTCAAAGCATTCTAGTTCTTCTTTGAATGCTTGCTCATATCTATTCCAATTAGATGTGTGTGTGCCACACGCACAGCTGCCGAAAAGTTTTACCCCAGCTGCTACCCAGGGGGTCAGCTGCCAAGCCCTCTAGAGTGGTGCTGGTGCAACACTTTATATGTGACACTGCTGACCCAACCACTTCTCACTTTCTTCTGGATGGCTACGCTGACAGTGGGGAAGGAGGGTGGGTGCAGAATAAATATGAGCAACACATCTCTTAGAACAAAGGTAAAAAAACTGTTTTTAAAAAAATTGTCTAATGCAGCTGCTTCTAATCCAGGTTCAGTTGACAGGATGCCCTATTAAACCAATATTTTATTGATCTGTTCGTTTATGTATTAGAATACTGTATTTAGACTAGTTTTCTTGGAAAATGAATGACCACATGTTGCTGTGAATGATAGTCATTTCAGTTCTAAAAATAATCTTTTAGAATTTACCATTTATGGATTTCTACTATAGCCATTACGCCTTCCCCCGTATATGTTCTGAATAGCTTCTATTCATGTATTTGAACAGCTCAACTATATATTCAAAGAGTTTCTGCAAGAAACATCACTCACAAAGCACCAAGAAAAAGTTAAAGCTTTTTTTTTTTTTTAATGCTTGAGTGACTGTATTTACATTTTTCACTTTATAGTGCCCAAAGTTCAATTGTGGGTAACTGAACTTGAATAAAATCCCTTTTTATGTGCAGAGGCAGTTTACTTTGCTATGTTTGTCTATATGTTGAGAATATGAGAGTGGCCATTCCAGGTCAGATAATAGTCCAACTAGTCCAGTAACCTGTCTTCTAACAGTGCTAGATGCATTCAGAGGGAAAGAACAGAACAGGGCAGTTATCAAGTGATCCACCCCCTGTCATCCAATTTTAGGACTTGCCAGGTTTAGGGACATCCAGAGCTTGAGGGTTGCATCCTTGACCATCTTGGATAATAGCCATTAATAGACCTGTCCTTCATGAACTTATCCAGTTGATTAGTTGAACCTTTTTGGGCTTCACAATGTCCCCTGGCAATTAGTTTCACAGGTTGGCTGTATTGTGTGGAGGAACCCCTTTTGTTTGTTTTTAAACCTGCTGCCTATTAATTTAATTGGTCCTTGTGTTTATGTAAAGGAGTAGACAACTCTTTAATTTTCTCCACACCATTTATGATTTTACAGATCTCTATCATATCTCCCCACCCCCTTAGTCAACTCTTACAAAATGAATAGTTTGTCCTTTTTAATCTTTCCTTATATGGAAGATGTTCCATACGCCTAAACATTTTGTTACCATTCTCTGTACCATTTCATTTCTAATCCATAGATTTTTTTTTTTTTTTGAGGCAATCAGAACTGCACAGAGTACTCGGGCATCGGTGAATCATGCATTTATATAGTGGCATTATATTTTCTGTCTTTTTATTATCTATCCTTTTTCTAATGGTTCCTAACATTGTTAGCTTTTTTGAATGCTGCTGTACATTCAGCAAAGGTTTTCTAAGAACTTCTTCATGATCTTTCTTGAACTAATTCAGATTTCATCATTTTGTATGTATAGTTAAATTGCACTTATCAACATTGAATTTCATTTGCCCACTGACCCAGTTTTGTGAAATCCCTTTGTAACTCTTTGCAGTTTACTTCAAACTTAACTATCTTGAGTAATTCTGTATGGTCTGCAGACTTTGTCATCTCATATTTATCCCCCTTTCCAGATCATTTACCCAAAGTTTCATCATGAACTAATTTTTCGTTAGTACTGAGTCAAAACAATACAGTAACTAGAATATTGTTAATACTGACACAAGCAAATGATGTAATGGTCTCTGTGTCATATTTGTACGTGCAAAATTAAGACTGTTCAAGTGTTTTCATAACAACATGGATTTCTTAATTCCATTTTTAAGGTTGAAGATGAATTTAGCTCTCCTGTAGTGGTATTCAAGTTTTCCCCGGAACTTCCAAATATAGGTGTGTTATTTATAGAAAAAAATGTAATGGCTTCAGATCTCTTAATTCAGTTAACTTGTTTTATTAGGTGCATTGATTGTGCACCTTTATCTAATTAGTCTGAACATAAAAAAAGTTTTGTTTATACAGTAGTGGTTTGAACCATCTCAAGGGGTGGTTGAGATTCTGTGGCCTGCACTGTGCAGGGGGTCAGACTAGATGATCATAATGGTCCCTTCTGACCTTAAAGTCTATGAATCTATGAATAAATGGTACTCTTGTTGCAAAGTTCCATTGCATTAAGACAATTGAAAGTGATTATAAATTGTTGGAATTAATACATTTCAATGCTGTAATTGCTTTTTGGAGGACATCTTTTTAATTCCCATGTTTGCCCTTTGAGATCAAATACAGTTTAATTTTCCTAGATTTCATAAAAATGTTTAGAAAATTAGTGAATCGCCTTTTGCTTTAGTTTAAATAAATAAAACTCTGTCTCTGATTCTTTTTGGGTTCAGATCAGATACAACATGCTGGATCAGCATCTATAATTCAACACCCTATAACCAGCAATGAGAGACAGATTTGTGACACCTTCAATCAATGGGTAAGATTGGATGTTGATTTCTCTTAAGAGCTAAAATGGATGTTCTGTAAAACAGAGGAGGATTGTCTGGCACAGGGAATTGATCATGTATTATATAAGGTAGAAACAACTAGGTCAGTAGTGGCTGATAATAGTTGCCACCAAATGGCTATTTAATATCCTATGCAAAATTAGCATGGAGAGTTTTGGGGATTAAAAAAAATAGTTTTGAACTGAAGCACTGGCAAGCTGATGTCTTTCATGTATTTTAAGGTACAAAACCCAGTACCGTCTAGACCATCCCTGATAGATTTCTATTGCATATGCTCTTAAATATCTCCAGAGATGGAGATTCCACAACCTCCCTAGGCAATTTATTCCAGTGTTTAACCACCCTGACAGGAAGTTTTTCCTAATGTCCAACGTAAAACTCCCTTGCTGCAGTTTAAGCCCATTGCTGCTTGTCCTATCCTCAGAGGCTAAGGAGAACAATTTTTCTCCCTCCTCCCTGTTACACCCTTTTAGATACCTGAAAACTGCTATCATGTCCCCTCTCAGTCTTCCCCTTTCCAAACTAAACAAACCCAATTCTTTCAGTCTTCCTTCATAGATCATGTTCTCTAGACCTTTAATCATTCTTGTTTCTCTTCTCTGGACCGTCTCCAATTTCTCCACATCTTTCTTAAAATGTGGTGTCCAGAACTGGACACACTACTGCAACTGAGGCCTAATCAGCGCAGAGTAGAGCGGAAGAATGACTTCTCATGTTTTGCTCACAGCACTCCTGTTAATGCATCCCAGAATCATGTTTGCTTTTTTTGCAACAGCGTCACACTGTTGACTCATATTTAGCTTGGGGTCCACTATGACCCCTCGATCCCTTTCTGCAGTACTCCCCCTCAACAGTCACTTCCTATTCTGTATGTGTAAGACTGATTGTTCCGTCCTAAGTGGAGCACTTTGCATTTGTCCTTATTAAACTTCATCCTATTTACCTCAGACCATTTTTCCAGTTTGTCCAGATCATTTTGAATTATAACCAGGGCTCGTTGAACCACGGCGAGTCCTGCTCGCCAGCTCTCTGTCCAGCGATCTGCGCACGCGCAGATCGTTCTGCACATGCGCAGATCACCCGAACCCGGTTCTTCCGGGTTGCAATCTACTCGTCACGGGCAAGTAGATTGCATTATTTGTCAAGCCCTGATTATAACCCTATCCTCCAAAGCAGTTGCAACCCCTCCCAGCTTCATATCATCTGCAGATTTAATAAGTGTGCTCTCTATTCCAATATCTAAATCATTGATGAAGACATTGAACAGAACCAGTCCCAAAACAGAACCCTGCGGAACTCCATTTGTTATACCTTTCCAGCAGAATTGTGAACCATTAATAACTATTCTCTGAGAACGGTTATCCAGCCAGTTATGCTATGATGAAGACACTGATTCTTTGAACTTTCCCGCCTCAAGAGGTGTGTGGTTTTTAGGCCACTGAGATTAAATACATTTGGTTTTTCCTCGGGTACTTAAAAAACAACCAGACCTGACTGTTACGTTGCTTTCACTTTGCAACAGATGTGTCTCCATTTAAGTTGGTACTTTTGTGAGAAGAGGAATGTATCTGAGGAGGGGAGTGTTTTTGTGGCAAGATGAAGGAAACTTGTTTACAAGGCTTGTATTGGCTGAATTACTTTGCAACCCAATTGAAATGTCAGTTTCCACTCAATCTTTGGAACTTTGTATTTATCTCCCTACTCTAATCTAGGCTTATGAGTCTTTTTTACTGTACAGGCACTGGAGAGAGGGAAAGCAAGACTATCAATGTATCAGAACTCTCTCTCCCATATCCAAAACAGCTTCTTTATTCATGCCTTGCCATGTGTGAAATCATGTGTGTGTCTTCTTTTTTCCCTCGCACTCACAATTGGAACAAGGGTTGCATTATGTGTTAAGAAAATGCACTTTACCAATTACATACAATTTGTGTAATAATTTGAGCTGTTGTGAATTCCCAACCTGTTTGTGACACCAACAACAAGAGCAGCCCTAAATTTTGTTTGTGATCCTATGCAAGGGAACACGTCAGGCGACTTCATTCAGGAACCTGTCAATCTGTTACTTTGTCCTTCCATCTCTCTGTACTCATGACCTCTCTTGATCACTGCCTATCTTCAGTTGTTTCCCTAGCCATTTTGAGGCTTTAAATCACCTGGAAATCTAGTTGAACTGGAAGGTCGAGAGGCAGAGGAAAAAAACAGCGTTCCAAAATGGGAAACATGATAACTGAGAAACAAGATAACAAGAAGGAGAAATTGTACAGCATGTTTCTGTCATGATTTCATGTGTCATGTAATCCCACTGATTGATAGCAGCATGTAGATTAGCATTTGTGTGGATTGAACAGGGTCTGGCTTTTTGAATTTTTCATAACTCATTTATATTGAGGGTCAAGAATACCATGAAATTCAAGTTAGAGATCTTTGGCAAACACAATTTCTTCAGCATAAAAATAATAGAAAGTAACCTCTCACATGAAATGGCAGAGATTTTGTGGCTTTGTAACTGATTTTTATGAGAGAAGGATTTGGGTTTCTTCAGGAATGGAAAAGAGAACTTGTTGCGATTATAAATAAAGTGGCTCTTAGTTGTATTAACAGGACACTGACTACTTAAAAAGTATGCTGTTTTACCTACTATTGTCACAAATAAGACCAAAAGATGAGGACTGATAGCGCTACTTGATGCATTTATTTAAGCAGCCTAATTGTTATAACTTGTTTTTGTAAAATTTTCACAGACAACTAGGTAAGAGAAACATTTTTTTAAAATAGGGATGTGAAAGTATAACCATTTAAATGGTTAACCAAAAAGCCTGGGCTGACTGGTTACAGTTTACAGTTATACGCAGGCTGCCGCCCCGCTCCTAGGGAGCTGGCTGCCACCCTGTATCGGGGCAGCAGCCAGCTCACCAGGAGCTAGTGAGTGCTGGGAGCCAGCTGCCACCCCACACTGCTGCCTGTGATACAGAGGCATCTGCGAGGGGCAGCAGCCAGTGCACCCTGGGAGCATCTTAAAAACCAGTTGGCAGTGCACACCAGCTCCCAGGGAGCTGATTGCTACCCCTGTATCAGAGGCAACAGCTCAGGGCAGCAGCTGGTTCCCCAGTGAACAGGGCCAGTAGGCGGGAACTGGTATGCACCAGAAGCTAGCTTAAAAGCCGGCTCCCAGTGGTCACTGGCTCCTGGGGAAATTGCTGTGTGTAATACACAGTTACCCAATTACCTGCTTTTTAACATCCTTATTGTAAAACCATAAAAATTGGCAAGGGGACTGAATGGCAGCTTAAATATCTGAAATTAGTTTTAATTTTTTTAATTGAGTATAGATTTCTGATAGATTGCAATTTCAGTACTTTTCTCCAGCTGCTAATAGTAGAACTCCTTCTAAAATGTACTTTTAAACAATCAAGTGCATGCTTTTGTTTTAAAACTCATTCATTTGGAAGTAAACATATTCCTACTTTATAGGAGCAGAGATAACCATCTTACAATAGCTACTGATTAAATGACATATCGTGTGGTTTACTTAGAAATTACGGAATAGGTTTTCAGTTTGTTAATGAGTGTGCAACTTCTTAATTTATTTTATAGATGGCACTGTGAGCTTGTTCATAGCTAAATTATTACTCCACTTCAGGGCATAATGAATAGATAACTTTTAAAAAGTAAAGAGAGAAATCTTACTAGAGACAACTTAACAGACAAATGGTTCGTGGAAACTCTTGGAACAGTCTAATACACGTTGGCAATAATAAGAAATTAATGCTCAATAAATTCCACAAATTTTGTCTTGTTTCTTCAGCTAGGTGAACAGTTGGGACAGTTAGTGCCTGCCAGTGGAGTTGATGTGGTTGAATTAGAAGATGAAGGCACATGTGTACGTTTTAGCCCATTAATGACTTCTGCAGGTAAACAAGTCACTTAATTTTAGCTGCTTGCATAGATTTTTCATTCTGAGGTGAAAAAAAATGGAAATTAGCTATTTAGAATTGTAAATATACTGCAGGTGTAAAAAATGTATGTGTGTAAATCTGTTCTTGGAATTGCATTTTTCTTATGTTTATGTTGAGAGGATGTTTTAATACTACAAAAATAGCTTCAGTGTCCTGAATTCTCAGTAGCTTTGTCATCTTGTATAGCTGTGATGTCCAACATGCTAGCCATATGTGGCTATTTGGCCGGTTGAGTCCAGCAGAATTGGTTGGACACTACGGTTCTATAGCATTATGTTGTGTCACATCTGTAAAATCTTTTACTTTATACTGTCTACACTTACTAGTATGAACAATGTACAAAGCTGAATAATGTTCCTATCTAAAATTGCCAGATTACAGAAACGTTGGAGATGAAATATCCTTTCTTGCCCTCTTCATCTGCTTAGAGAATGAAGAAATAATTTAGTCTACTTATTCAGGTGGTTAGACAAAATATCTGAGCGTGCATTTGTAGGTACAGGTTGGATCTCCTTTGTCTGGCACCCTCGAGACCTAACCGGTCCCAAACAAAGGGTGTGTCTAAACTACAGGGTTTTGTCAATAAAAGTGGACTTTTGTCGACAAAACTATACCTGTGTCTACACTGCCACTGAGTTCTGTTGCCATAACATCTACAGAACTCAGCAGTTTTGTCGACAGCGGTAAACCTCATTCTATGAGGAATAACGCCTTTTGTCAACAGAGTTCTGTTTATAGAAGGCGTTATTGCATCTACACTGTCCTTTGTGTCCTTTGCGGCTTGCTTTGTCGACAGAACTGGATGTAGTCTAGACACTCTTTGTCGACAGAAGCTTTGTCGACAGTATCTGTTGACAAAACTTCTGTTGACAAAAGCCTGTAGTCTAGACGTACCCAAAGGGATTTGCCGTACGGGGGAGGTCCCTCCTCTCCTTGCCCGTGCTAAACCGCTGCCCCCAGGCTAGAGCTCCAGCTTGCCCCGCTGCTGCCTGGCCAGCTGTCGTTCCCTGAGCCAGAGCTCTCCAGCTCCCGCTGGCCCCACTACTGCCCAGGCCACAGCTTTCTGGCTGCTGCCAGGGTTGGAGCTTTTTGGCTGTCACTACCAGCTCCCTGCTACTGCCCAGCTGCTGGGGCCAGATCTCCCCACTGCACCATCCACTGTCCTCCCCCCCCCTGAAATGGGGCTCCCGGCTGAGTCATGATCCTGCCCCATGGCCAGATTCCCTTTATCTGGACACTGTGGTCCAGGAACATCTGTGGTCCTGCCAGACCATGGATGTTGCCAAATCAGAGATTCCCGGTTAAGGGAGATGCAACCTGTAGTTACTGGGAAGAACTTTTAAATTAGAAACTAAAGGACAGAACAACAGATTCCAGTTTAACAAGTAACCTTAGTTGGTTTTACTGAACTTTGTAATCAAAACGGAAGCTGATCTTTTTTGTAACCTTTTGACTCCCAAGTAGGTATCCTGTTGCTAACTACTATTATTACTTTATAGTATCAGAACATCCATTTTTGGTATTACAGTTAGCTTATTCTTTGCTCCTTAATGTATGGCTACAGCCATATTAATATGTTGAGTGTCTCCAGAGAATGGCAAGCTAAAGAAAACAGCTTTCAGCATATAGATTAAGATAATTCAGTAATGTTGAAAAATCATAATTGGGTTTGGCTTGTAAAGTGGGTTATCTATAAATATAGATAACCATGCCACCTAGCTTACTATATCTAAAATACGCTCTCAATTCAGTAATTCACTTGCTAATTTATTAGCTCTTCAGTTTTAGGAACTGAAGTACAAGATGTAGATCAGTTGGTGGACTGCTTAAAAATGAAGATACCAATACTGATATGCACACTGCAGCTAAGAGAAGAATTTGAGCAAGAAGTGAAAAGAACAGTAGGCTTGTCATATATTGAAGATTTCAGCTGGCCAGGACTAGGTGTTGTAAGGTAAGTGTTTAGGCATCTCCAAGAATGGCACTGGACCTTAGTTTAAGAGATATTTGGCTAGATAGTACATTCAGCAGCGAGAATAAGTGCTCTGTTCACTAGTGATCCTTTGGACCAGCAAAATTTGGCTTATGGCACAGATAGTTTTCTTAACTGACTTGTGAATAAACTACACTTTCTTAAGAGGATGTCTGAACTTTATTAAATTATTTAGGAGTTTGAAACTTCTTAGAAGCTAAAGACGCGGTTTGCCAAAAGAATTGCGTTAACTAGAATTTAAGCAGCCTTTTGGATCATCTGTAGTAAAAATTAATATACCTGTATATCTTGTATATTTAGCCTACCATTGCAGTCAGTTTACTTTTAGACATTAGTAAATTTATTTGTCTTTTTTGGCAAATACTGTGCTGCTCAAGTATTAGATATAATTATTATTAAAGTTCCTATGTAATCAGAAGGAGCTGAGTCATTATCAGTACAATACTTTCAAAAACTATTTTAAGAAATTTGGCTGTATCCAAAGAGGCTTTTCCTTCAATCACAAAAGTTATCCAATTTTCTCCAACAAGGCTGATTGCTATTACTATTTAAACTTCCCCCAGTACACCAGTTTATAGTAGAGTTGTAGGCCTGCTCTAACCCTGGCAGCCAGCCCCACACGGCTAGCACCTGGGGTAGAGAGTCAGCCGAGCCAGCCCCAGCGCATGGGCTGGGAGTGAGAGCCTCGCAGGTTAGGGGGATGAAGCTATGAGATCCTGCTTAGTTGGTTAACCAGTTAAACATTAGGAATGTTAAAATTAGATTAATCAACTAATCGAATAATCAACTAATCAATGGGATTTCCATCAACTATTTGATTAGTCGATAAGGGCACTTCTGCTTTGAAATGTAGCAAGAGCTGCCTGGTTTTCCACCTTTGAAATGTACAAGAGCCCCAGCAGGGGCTCTTATGCATGTCAAAGATTGAAACACAGCACGGAACCTGGGGCAAAAGCTTATTAGATAGTCGACACACTAATTGCTTACATCCCTATTAAACATTAAGCTAAACTAACATTTAACCAGTTAACTAATTAACCGGAATTTTACTTCCCTAGTGCATAGGTACGTGTAGGTAAATTGCTGAAAGATGTTAGAAGTGCAGATTTATTCTGTTTTGTTTGTACTGTTAAATAAAATGGCTTGCTGTCCCATGGCTTGTTTTTAAAGGTATGAGTATAAAAGCGATGGGAAGAATGATGACAAACAAGAGAAAGAAGTAGAGAAAATTAACACTGGACTTTTGAAAAAACTAAATGAACTGGAATCAGATCTCTCTTTTTCTTTGGGTAATTATCACTATTTGCAGAACAAATTTCATTACAGGCCATATCCATGTATCATTAAAATGCTCTGTCTGCTTCTACATTTAAAAAGTAGATCTGTTTCTTTCTACAAATATTATTTTTATGATCTTGCTTCCTTCCCCACTGCTTGTTTGTTCAGGGACCTATTACAAAGCAAGTAGTGCTGCTTGTCAGCAACAGCTTTAGCAAGGTGAAATACATCCTTTGTTCCCAGAATACTCACCAAACCTCAAGCATGATTGTACTACACTGAGAAGTTTTCATCCTAAAAAACACATTCTATTGCTTGTGTTGATAAAGTTTTGATTTATGTTTTGTTGTTAAGTTGATTGGAGGAGAAATGTTTTCATTGTGGGAAAATTCAAAAATTTGCAAAGAACATTTTTTACTGTAGTGCTGACTGGAGGCCCCCCAAATATATTCCTGATTCTGATTGTTAGATATACTAGACAAGCATCCAGTCATAAACATGTTGGACTCAATGCTCATTAATACCGTTACTGCATTCTCGTCTATAGGTTTGTTGTGCAAGTGAATTACCTAACACTGTGCATGTTATAATATGTGCCAAATTGGAGGGTTGTCTGCCTCAAACTAGTGAAGCAAGCTGCTATTGTCAAACTGGCTGCTCACTGAAGTCTATGACTAGGTTAGATGTCTTAGCTGCCTCTGGCTATAATACATAACTGAAATACTCAGTTACACTTTAACCATTTACTGGTGAGTAAATGGATGTTCTGTAGTATGTTTTGATTGTCCTGGAAACTGTAGGAATGCTAACGTGTTGCATTTTGATACATTAGTGCAGGGGTGGCCAACCCATTCTGGGAACAGAGCCAAAATAGCAGTGGATCAAGCGCGAAGAGCTGGGGCAAAGTTGTTGAGAGGGGAAGAAGAAGAAAAAAAGCACTTCCCCTTTAAGAAAACACATTTAAACGTGTTTAGAGGCTTTTTGACCACATTAGGCTCCTGACAGCTGACACTGTCTTTAATTCTACATCTTTCGTGGCCGCATCGGCTGGCTCCCCTGTCCAGGTCAGCACAGGGAGCTGGGAGGATAGGGCCATTTCTGGCTGTTCGGGGGCAGCTTCCGAGCCACAAGTGGGCGCGGGAGAAGAGCCGCATGTGGCTCCCGAGACTCAGGTTGGCAACGGCTGCATTAGTGCTTTCCAGTCTTACTGTAACCAGACACTAAAGTCAGACTCACTTGTAATCTTTAAAAAGCAAATGGCCTAGATGTCATATGTGAGTGTGCTTAACAAAACAGATGTCTAGCATCCCACTAGAGTGATATAAAGTCAGTGAACCATGACATTCTGCATAAGCTTATTTGAATGGCCTCTGTTGTGTACACATATGGAATTTCCAGGTGAACCTTGTCTAGTTCTCCCAGTGTCACTTGTCTAGTTCTCCCAGTGTCACTTCTGCTTTAAAATGACTAGCCACAGCACTCAAGAACAAACCTACAACTGCTGCATTTGAGCTTTCCCTCAAAAGTGAGATGGGAACATTAAAAACATAGCAAGTGAATATTTCAAATGGTTTTGCCATGAGTTAGTAATGATGATAATAGTACTGAGGCCAAATCTCAAGTGGTGTTGATCAACAGGTGTCCACTCCTGTTGATTTTAGTAGATGTTGAGGATGATCCATACATTGCAGGAGATGCTCACCACTTCATAGGAACATGCCCTTAGATGAGTTTTATTTTTCCAAAAACTATGTAAATATTATTCAGTATCCTCCCTTAGAATTAGGGTTGTCCCTAGGAGGTGGATATTTTAATCTCCGTCATATTGATGAAAGGACTGATTCAAGACAAGAATTTGTGTCTTTCAGATCTTTGACAGTTTTAAACCTCCTCAATCCTGAAGGCCTTTGGCAATTTTTTTTTATAATGTTAATTAGGGATATATATGGAGATATACCTATCTCATAGAGCTGGACAGGACCTTGAGAGGTCATTGAGTGCAGTCCCCTGCCCTCACGGCATGACCAAGTACTATCCCTGACTGATTGATTTGCCCCAGATCCCTAAATGACCCCCGCAAGGATTGAACTCATAACCTGGGGTTTAGCAGGCCAATGCTCAAACCACTGAGCTATCCCTCCCTAAATCTCCATGAGTAATTTACTATACACTTACCCGAAAATCCTAGGCTTATCAGTTAATCATGTCAACTGAATGCATTCCCTTCCGCCCCCCCCTTGCTGCCTCTGTATCAGAGCAAGAGCAAGGGAGGCAGCAGGGAGCAGCAAGGGTACACCTTCCTCTCTCCAGCTGCTGCCTGTATCAGCATCCCATGGAGCCTGGGCCTGCTGTGGACTGAGGTTGCTTTATGGCAGCAGCCTTTGTCCATGGGGGGAGGAGGGGCCGAGCGTCCTGTGGACAGAGGCTGCTCCGCAACCTCTGTCCATGGAGAACTTGGGTGCCCCACAGACAGAGGCAGCAGCTCAGGGCAACAGGCAACTGATCCATGAGAGGAGGTAGTTTTTTAACTGGCTACCCTTGTGGACTGCTTCCGCCTGTCACCCTGAACTGCTGCCTCTAATACAGAGGCAGCAGTGTGGGTTGGCAGGGGGCTCCCTGGGAATGGGGCCGGGTGCGCACTGGCTGCTGGCCCTGCCCCCGGGGATTATTGAATAGTTGTGTAACTGCTAATATTTCATGTGCTTACACAACTGTTCAATTACACGATTATCTAACATCCCTGATGTTAATGTTGCTTTTGGCCTTGTGGCAGCCACTTAACCTACATAGAATTGATTTTTTACCTATCCTATCCAACCTACTGCACAAGTGTTGTAAGGCTCAGTGGTTATAGGCTGCTTTGAAGATGAAAACCAGTAAATGTTGCAGTTTTTTAAACCTCTGCTGATGACCATGTAAATACAGCATTAATTTTCTGTGCAACAATGGTTCTCTGATTGTGGGTTGAGAACCCAGAGAGGAGCATTTTAATGGTGTTGTCAAGGCTGGTATTAGACTTGCTGGGGCCCAGAGTCCCAGGGCTTCAGCCCTGAGGGGCGGGGCTCAAGTTACAAGCTCCCTGCCTAGGGTTGGAGCCCTTAGACCTCGGGCAGCGGGACACGGGTTTCATCTGTTCCCTTCTCCCCGGCCTTAGGCTTCATTCTCCCCCACCCGGGATTGTTGAATAATTGTTTGTTGTCAGAAGGGGGTTGCTATGCAATGATGTTTGAGACCCCCTTTATTAGAGAGTTCTAATCTTCCATATTCACCTTTAAGAATACATTTAAATGTGTCAGTTATGGATCAATGCTATTGACAGATGTCCCAGAATAATGTCTCTTTTGCAAAAGGTATAATGTGCTTTTTAAATGTGTATATACAGTGCTAGTTGTAAAAATGCCTCACCGACGATTTTATGTTCAAGAGTAGGAGGAACATATTCTTCCGGACACCACAGCTTTCACAGTAGAAATTCAGCTGCTTTAAATGCTGTTCATAAGCACATAGTTATATAAAATATCTTCCTGTTTAAAATTGGTTGTTTTTCCTCTTTGAAGCAGTGCAGTGCCAAATACTGCAGTTTCAGTGATTTGGGCACATGCAATTATTATTCTTAAGCACTAGAACAAAAATATGGTTGGGTTCCCTGGTGCATAAGTGAGAGTAGAGTGCCAGTTGTAAGACTGTCTTCTTCTGTGAAGCTAAATATTTGTCTCTTTTTACTAAATACACAATCTATTACCTTTTGTAATTTTAAACCTTGTTAAAAAGGCTCTTAAATTTTGCTGCAAAAATGTAAAAAACATGGAATCTCCCCTTTTTATTAACAGGGCCAGAATTTGGAGGGGAGAAGAACTGTGTGTATATTGGCATGGTAACTGAAGATCTGGATGTGTCTGAACTGGTGGAAACTATTGCAGCAACAGGCAGAGAAATTGAAGAAAATTCTCGAGTATGTACTGAAATTCTGTGTGTTTTCAGAATGACAATGTTTAGCATCCAAACTGGTTTCAGAGCAACTTCTTATTTTTTCCTGTGAAAGGAAAATTGCACATGTTTAACTATATAGTGATTTGCACTTACATGGTGAGAGAATTCCCAGTATGACAACTCTCATATTATATCTTGGTTTAGGGTTACATTTTTGTGTTTCTAACTCCCGCCATTCTATCTGCTAGTATTGGACTCCTTTCTGGTGCTGAAATAGCCTAACTGACTAACTATACCGTTTCCATAATGGTATAAAAAATCCTTTCTGGAGCAGTCCATCAGCTGTTTACAATCACAAATTGTCCCACTGAATTCAGTGGAATCATGGCAACACACCAGCTTGAGAATCTGTCACTTAACTTTTTCCCATTCATTTCAACTACAAAACTGCATTTACAATGTCTTTGTTGGTAGAAAAAACATTGGTGCTTACACAAGATTACCTGAGAAGCTTTGGTTACTCTGTCTAATATCTGGCCTATTGAAGTTGTTTTAACAAAGCCTTCAGTAAAAAGGAAAGCGGTGGTTATTTGAACAACACTGCATCCACCAGATAAATCCTTGTTCAACTCTACTCTGTTTGCTCCCCCTCCTGGGATGTGCTGATTACTTAGCCCTGCCTGTGGAACTAGTGAGAGCTAGTGCACCCCTCCTGTTTGCCTGTTTCTGAACACTGAGGGTGAGACTATAATAGAGGCATTAGCACTCTAGCTCCTCAGTTCTTTCCAACTGCTGCAGAAGATGGATCAGGATCTGCATTTGGACTCTTCGCCTGAATCCCTTGCTTGAATGGTGCCCATTTAGCTCAGTGTTCAGGTGTAAACAGTTGGGCATTTTAAGAGTTCGAAATTTTTTTAAAAGGAAATACTATTAGCATCTGATAGTGAATATGAAGAGACCAGCTATTCAGAAGTGCATCTTTTGCCCTGCATTTGCTGCTCAAATGAGATGCCTCTCAGGGAAGCACACTGTCCACCAAGCTGTTCATTCTGAAGTGCTTTCACTCTGAGTATGGGAAGAAGGGCAGAACAGACTGCAAATGTCCTGTTAGCTTGCTAGTGCTAAGCAGAGATTAGGCACTGTCCCAGTTTGTCTAATGAAGTAGACAGCTCTCATTGCTGGTGCACTGGATTCAGTTTTCAACTTCCTCAGTAATTGACCATGACAGTGGATTGCCTGTGGATCGACAAGCTCACCTTAGGTCAGGCCTAGGCAAAATACAGACTACAGGCTGCATCTGGCCTGCCAAGCCACCGGATCCGGCCCATGGACACTGTGGGGAGCCCCAGGCAGGCTCCCTACTTGCCTTGTCCCACCTACATGTTGTTCAGAAACAAATCTGCAGGGTGGTTTTTCTTTTAAAAACTGAAAGCCCAAAGGGAAGGGGGGAAGTTTTAGGAGATGCTCCTACCCCAGCACAATCCCATTGATTGGTTTCTGGCCAGAAACTGACCACTTGGAACTGCTTGTTTCAATAACAGGCAGCCACGAAGCACCTGGCTGCTGACTGTGTGGGGATGGGGCAGGCAGCAGTGTTCCCTCTAAACTGTGTTGCAGGACAGCTTAGAGGGAACACTGGCAGGCAGGGAGGCTGATTCAGGAACAGCTGCTTGCTAGTAAGTCTCATGGCCTGAGCCTGCTTCTGGCACCCCAGTTCCTCACTTCCCCAACCGTCTGCCCCCTCCTGCAGCCCTCTGCCGCCCTCCCCCCACACTCAACATACCAAAACTCTCTCTTCCCCTCTTATACCCATATCCCCTCCCAGATCCGGCACCCTAATCTCCTGTCCCAGATCACAGTACCTTCCTGCCCTAGCTCACAACCAAAATCCCTGCACCCCCTCTTGTACCTAATTCCCTGTCATGCTAGGTCACAACTGCCTCCTTCACCCAAACTCCCTCCCTTACCCTAAACTCCCTTCTGCACCCAGCCTCCATCCCAGACCCAACCCCTCCTCCATTAATGCCATGGAAGAGTGCAGTCCTAGACCACTTCACAAATTCTTGGAGTGGTCCCCCATCAAAAATTATTGCCCACTCCTGCCTTAGGTCAAATCTGAATGGGAGCAATAAGGACTCTGAAAAGGAAAGCTTCTTCAGATCCCCATATTACTGTGCCTTTGACCTGTATTAAACCTGAGAAAATTCAGCTCCTTTATCAGTTCTGATTCTATACCTTTGAACTGACATCTGTAGTACCTTCCCTCTCTGTGCATGGTTAGTTTGCTGTTCTCAGTTTGAAGCATATTTCAATCAGATCATTGTACCACAAGTATCTTTGCTTCCTAGTAGAAGAGAATTATTATCAAATCAGAGTCCTTCCCTTTAGCTGTTCTACTGCCCTGGGAGTTTTTACTAAGTGCCTTGGGGCAGTGGCAGCACATTGTGTGGAGACAAGAGAGCCACATGTACCTGTACTTGGATGACTGGTAAATCAAAATGTGGAGTTAGGGGAGGGTGCGAAAGCGCTCCAATGGGCACTGCAGTCAAAAATTTCTACCAGCGCAGCTGCATTATTGACACGTTCATGAGTGTGAGTATCCAGAGGACATTCAGAAAACTCTGGCTGGAGGGGAGTAGCTTACATGTAAGCACGAGAAATTTATATTGTTGCAATTAAATGTGACATTCTGTTTTTAAGATCCATGTCAAAACCCTATTCTCAGTCTGCAGTTACCTATTTATAATATGAAATAAATGCATTAGTCAGCTGTTGACCTAATGTAGAAAAATGCACAAATGTCCCCATTTAAATTTTAATGTTTAATGTGAAAGACTAAAAATCCAGAGTAAGGGAGTCATGCATGCTGTTCCATTTTTAATTAGCTGCTGGAAAATATGACTGAAGTCGTTAGAAAGGGGATTCAGGAAGCGCAGGTTCAGCTGCAGAAAGCGAATGAAGAAAGACTTCTTGAAGAGGTGAGACTACCAAAACACTGCTATCTCCATTGCATAACTTAGTAACACTTACGTGGCTCAATCACTAGAATGATCTGTTGATGGCATGTTTTACAGGGGCTGCTAAGGCAGATTCCTGTAGTTGGCTCTGTGCTGAACTGGTTTTCTCCATTTCATGCCTCACCAAAAGGAAGAACATTTAACTTAACAGCAGGTAGGACTAAATACTTCTGCAGCAATCACTCGGAAAGGGACAGTCCTGTGTTTAAGCTCTCCTGCCAGTGGCCAATGACGGGGCTGGTGTTCAAAGCTGGTGGAGGGACAAAGCTGCAGCACGTAGGGCCAGGCTGCTCCCCCTGCTGATCCATCAGCACAGCCGCCACAGCTCTCAGCCAGCAGGGCCCTCTTCCAATCCCATTTCTGGACAGCGCAGCTGCTGCAAGCCGAGGTGGCTTGTGAATGTAGACAGGCACCAGACAGCGTCTGGTTTCATGTCACCTCTGCTACCCACCTCTCAGTCCTTTATATGCTCCCCTTCTTGCTGTCCTCTCCGTGCTTTGCCTCTTCATCCCCACTTACCTCCACTGCTGCTCCATACCCTCCCAGAGGGGCACATCCCATTCCTCATGCTGTGCAGAGAACCAGCTGATGATAGTCTAGGCAGCAGGCTTCTTCCTTCCCCATTGACTGAGGCTATGTCTACACTACACCGTTTTTCCGAGATACCTCTGGTGGAAAAACTCCTCCATGTCCAGGGAACGTGTCTGCTCTTCCACCAAAAAAAAAAGCAGAAGAGCAGATGTGCTCCTTCAGAAGGTCTGTCTTTCTCCTTTCATGAGGAAGAAAGGCTCTTCCAAAAGAGGAGGCTTCTTCCTTCCCCATTGACTGAAGCTATGTCTACACTACAGGGTGTGGGGATCTGGTCATGAGGAGGGATGCTTACCAGGCTTCACGCCCTCTTTCAGCAGGGAAAGCCTCCAGACAGTGCGTCACTGCGCTGCCATTCCCCCAGGGGGAGGGGGGGGGCTGCTGGACCCGGCGCAAACCGGGACCGAGCAGTCCTGGATCGTGCCAGTTCAGGGCTACTGTGCCTCTGCATTTTAAATGTAGTAAGAGCCACCGGGCATGAGGCACTGCAGCACTGCACTGATCCAGAGCCAGGTCTCCTCAGTCTCAGCTCATGCTGGCTCCAGAAGCTACCCCCGCTGCAGCTCTATAGTTGATACAAATTGTTGACTACACAGTTAGCCAAATAACTGCTCATGAATATCCGTAACTGAAATTAAAGCATTTGCTGTATTTGACTGTTTCCCCCTTCATTATATTGGTAAGTACAGCTTCAGGAATGGGGCTTAGTCCCAGATTCTCAAAGGGAGTCAGGCATCCAAATATCTTTTGATCTGGGCTTTAATACTTGCTTCAGGACATGCAGGAAAGTGAGATATAGAGAGAGCAACAGAAAAATATAAACTATGAACTTAACATGTAACTGGTTTTATTATTATTTAGCAGCATCAATATAATTCGGCTTTGTCTCTTGTGTGTTTCTCTCCCTTCCCTTCCCTCCCTTCCCCCCCTCCCCCCCCATTGGCAGGCTCTCTGGAGTCCACAGAACACACATATGTATCAAAAGCGCAGGGGACTGAGACCACTCCACCCCCCACTCCTACTCCTATTAAACAAAGACTTCCTGGTAAGTTTGCCCACGATTAATGGTAATAAATGTGCAGTTTGACACTCAAGAACATACTGCTTTGTTAAAAAGCAGTATAACAATGAGTTTTATTGCCTAATCAGAGTCTGAGTTTTGCTTTATCATTTCCATATACATTACTTTCCTGGCCATGTCAAACTAGAGCACTAATCTTGTTTGTAATTGTTCCGATTCTCCTGCTGATTTTAAATGATCAGTGCAGCAATCCAAAAGATCCAGAATGAAGCTAAACATTCCCTGGAGCACCATTCAGATTCAACTTTTCCCATCCCCATTGTGTTCTGAAGGGGATTGTGGAGGAGATCGTTATCCTTCTCACCTCTGATCACAGGGCTTTTTCCTCTGGAAAATAGTGTAGAATTGTACGTTCTATAGTTCCCCTTGACTAGGAGATGCATTGAGGGCTACTCACCTTGACAGATTAGCCAGAAAAACAAACCAACAGCTGCAAAATACCAAGGACAATGTGGTTCATTTATTTTGGCCATTGCGGTTTGTGGTGGTGGGGGGGTTTGTTTTACTACACAAACATCATATCGCCTGGAAGCTGTGAAATCTTAGTATGAAATCAATCACACAACAAGATGATGATGTTAAATCGGTTCAGGAGAGGCAATTTTTTTTTCTTCGTGTAAACGAGTTGGTTAACCAGGTGTAGACTGACAAAGCTATATTGACAATCTTGTCCTTTCATTGTGGTCACCTTTAGGTTTGAATTTAGTTTGGACTGTCAGCTTCTCCAGTTGATCATTAATCCATTTGGGACACAGTGACCCTTTTGAAATAATTTACCTACCCAAAAGAGTCTTATCTAGTATGTGACCCTCGGTTTGTTATTTTTACTGCAAGAACTGACAATTTTAGCTAACCAAACCTTAATGTAGCTATTGTTTACATAAGGAAAAACAACTACTAATGCAGATTATAGCAGTTACACATCTGTGTTTGTGAGTCTAAATTAACTTTAAATGGTGATGCAAAACTGCATCTGGAGCTTTTAAAATCAGAGGTCAGATTTAAAAAATGTGGCTTATTGTTTGTGTAGATTAATCTGTGCATTTACTGCCTCTTAATGCTTATTCATCAAATATTTCCACAGGTCAAAAGCTTTTCAAAAGGTCTTTAAGAAGCTCTGATGGATTTAGTGAGACCAGTTCAGTTAGTCATATTGATGACTTGGAAAAGATGGAGCAACGGTCCCATTCTGTGTCTACTGTACAAGAGCAAGGGACTGTGGAGACAGAGAAAGCAGAGCAGCAGAATGACCTAGCACAAGAAACAAATGAAGCAACTGAAGATCTGCAAAGTGACAAATCCCAGAAATTGGAAAATGACTGCACTAAAGTAGAGGAACAAGAAAATCTAAGATAAAATCCAGATTTTGCTAATTAAGACTTTGTATAATAATCACATTCCCTGTATGGCAGGGAAGTTTATGATGTATTCAAAATGTGAACAGTGCCACAAGTTTGTACAGTAACTACTACTGTAATTCACAATTAACAGGGATTTTGCACAAAAACAAAGCTTTTTCCCCTAGGGGATGTGAACTTGTTTTATTGTACACTTATTAGAACTGTTTTAATCCTATATACATTAATATCTCCAAAGATGCCTGATTTATTTTAATGGCTTATAAACAGTTGCCCAAAGGAATTTTTTTGGCAAAGTGGTGAGTTATTGTGTGAATCCAGGTGGCATTATAGTGCTTACTGAGTTCATCAGACATTTGAGTCAAGGTTAAGCATGCAGCTGGTGATATTTGTAAAGTGATCCTAATTTAAAAATATTCAATAAACCTGCCATTACTCATCTTTATATTTTAAATCAGCTTAATTTTTACAAAAAAAGCACAACAATCCAGGTAGTCATGCTGTCTGTGCTGCACTTCATCTCATTGCTTTTTTTAATCTCTTATGTTCATTAGAAATCCATTGCTTTTAACTAAAAGGGTCATCAAGCAGTTGTGATGCAATGAGTGACAGAGAGGTATCTGTGTGTATAATATGAAAATGTAAATACTACTTTGCCAATCATTTTTTCTTGCTGTTATATGAATTAGTCCACTCAGTTAAGCTTCTTAATCTTACAGGGCTTGCAAGCATTCACCCTTTTAGAAAGCAATAGTGCCTCTGCATGACTGTCATTTCTTGCCTCTATAACTGGCAAGAAGCTTTGATAACGATCCATCCTTGTTTACGGCTACACTCCCGCTATAACCAGCTCCTATGAATATGACTGGAATCTTTTTGGTTATGTATTTTTAGATACTTGTTAGTAAATCTTGAAAATTTTGTTGATGGTTTCTTTTAGTAATATTGTACATGCTTGACGAAATTATATGTTACATACACTACAGCACATAGTTCCATTATAATCTATTAGCTTGTGATATTAAAGTTTAATGTTCAGAAGCATTTTCTCCACTACATTACCTGCAAAAACTGACTTTACTGTGTATAAGCAAAACAAATGCACTAAAAAACTGGATCCAGCCCCACAATACTGGCTAGCTAACACTGTCACCAATATTCTCTTTATATTGAGGGCTCGACAAACTGCTGTTTCTACTCGCCTGTAGCGAGGAGATTTCAGCCGGTCGCTTCGTGCGCCCCATTCACTGACGCTGCGCATGTGCGCGGTGCCGGTCTGGCCCATGCGCTCTGCAGGGCTGGCGAGTAGCTCTCGCCGCAGTTTCTCGAGCCCTGATAATTAGGATGTACATAAATTACTACCTTGTGTAGATCATCATGATGGCTCTAGTGGTAACAAGATTGGATAGCATTGTGATATTTTGTTAATGGATTTTTCATTTATTTTTATGTACAGTCAACTTTTCGCTTTTTATTCTTCGGGGCTGGGGAGCTGTAGTTAAAGTCTAAGCTTTTGTTTAGGTACTTCTCAGATAAGAGTGCAATTTTTAAGTACAAAAATAATTAAGCATACTAGTCTTCCTTATTAGTTTATTTGGTAATGAAGTGTGTTAACAGGGATATTTGTGGGGGGCAAAATTATCAAATTAATTTAATATTTTTATATTAAATTGCTAAACTAGTAGTTTTGTTGGACTAGAGCTACACACTTTAGCTATTACCTGAATGTTTCAATAAAAGATTCTTCAAATTATTACATGTGAAATTCTATTACATTTGAATTGGACTAAAATCTGTGCTGTAGTTTATGAAAACAGATGTTTGAACTATGAGGGTGGTTGTCCTAGGTACCACTTGAGAATGTAAGCCTCTATTACAATCTTTATTCATATATTACACACACTGCGTTTCAACTGTTATTCTTACTTCCTCGTCTCTCAAGGCTCAGACAAGTACAAGACTCTAGGAAAGTAGCCTGAGAATCAGCAGCACTATGGAAGAACAGAGCTGGGGAGGGCCCTGCCTGTTTAAAAGTTCCAGCCCATGCAAGGACAGGAGTTGCTTTTGAGTTGAGTGGAACAAAAGAGGAGCAAAGGGCAGGCTGATGGCTAGTGTTGTGTGGGATATTAAGGCCGTGTCTACACTACAAGAGTAGGTTGAATTTATTAAGGTCAATTTTTTTAGTGTCTAATCTTGTAAAATGGAAGGTGCCTGTCCCCACTGTATGCAGGAGTTTGTTGCACCCCGTAGGGTGGCTACTGTTGACTTTGACAATAGTGCTCTGTAGGTAGCTATGCCACAGTTACTGCTGTCCCTTTGCATTCTGGATTAGGCTCCCAGTGCCTGATGGGACAAAAATGGTGCAGCAGGTGGTTCATGGTGTCAGCATTCCATAAAGCACTCGATTTCTTTCTCCCTCTCGCTTGAAAGCAATGACAGACCATTTTTGTGCCTTTTTTTCCTCCTGGTTGTCATGCGGGTGCCATAGCAGAGCTAACATGGACCCTGTTCAGCTGCAAACTGCTACAGTAATCATTGCCAATACCTCGCACCTTATGCTGTAACATGTCCAGAGCTTAGCCAGGGCCTGCCAGAGAGAGGAAGAATGTGAGGAGGCTATGTACACAGACGTGAAAACCTTAAGTGGAGCAAACAGCAGACACTTGTGGCAGCTGCTCCTTTTGATAGTTCAGGTGCCATGAGACAAGCACAGCCTGCTGGGATCACATCGTTATGCAGCTCTGGGATGAGCAGTAGTGGCTGCAAAACTTTACACATGCAAAAAGCCACTTCCATGGCATTTTGTCAATTGGTTTCTTCCCCCCCCCCCCCCCTCGAAGTGCAGCAAAAAGACAATGAGACTCACTCTGACAGTTGAAGTGAGTGGCAACAGCCTTGTGGAAGCTTACACCACCAGTTAACAGTGAGATGAGAATCAATTCAGAATGGGTAAGAGTACGGTAGGGTCTGCTGTGATCCAAGTAGCAGAGGTAATCCGTACCCTTCTGATCCAAAGGATAGTACTTTGGGAAACGTGGATACCTTGGTGGAGAGCTTTGCCCTAGTAATGTTCCCTAACTCTGATGGGGCAATAGACAGAACACACATCCCCATCTGGGCACCCAGCCACCTTTCCAAAGAATACATAATATTTCCGGTTTGAGAACAACTTATACCTCCAGATCAGCGGCACAGCCATGGGTACACGCATGGCCCCACAGTATGCTAACATCTTTATGGCTGACCTAGAACAACGTTTCCTCAACTCCCGTCCCCTTTCACCCCTCCTCTACCTACGGTACATCGATGACATCTTTATGATCTGGACACATGGCCAAGAAACACTGGAGATATTCCACAGAGATTTCAACAACCTACACCCCACCATCAACCTCAGCCTGGACCATTCTACACGAGAGATCCACTTCCTGGACACCACCGTACAAATCAACAATGGAAAATTAGACACCACTCTCTACAGAAAACCCACTGACTCATACAGTTACCTACATGCATCCAGCTCCCATCCAGAACACACCACACGATCCATCGTCTATAGCCAAGCCCTTCGATACAACCGCATCTGCTCTAACCCCACTGACAGAGACCAGAAGCTTCAGGATCTCTACCAAGCATTTATAAATCTCAACTACCCACCCAGAGAAACAAAAAAGCAAATTGAAAGAGCCAGACGAATACCTAGAAACCATCTACTTCAAGACAGACCCAAGAAAACCAACAATAGAACACCACTTGTCATCACCTACAACCCCCAACTTAAACCTGTCCAACACATTATCAATAAACTACAGCCTATATTGGAACAGGATACCATACTCAAAGAGGCTCTGGGAGACAGACCCATAGTCTCCTATAGACAACCACCTAACCTCAAGATGATTCTTACCAACCACCACAGGACATACCACACTAATACCAACCCTGGTACCTTCCCTTGCAACAAACCCCGTTGCCAGCTTTGTCCACATATTCATTCTGCTGATACCATTATTGGACCTAACCAAGTGAGTTATAAGATCAAGAACACATATTCCTGCGCATCCAGAAATATAATCTACGCTATCATGTGCCGAAAGTGTCCGTCTGCTATGTACATTGGACAAACATCTCAGACACTTCGCCAAAGGATTAATGCCCACAAAACAGATATCAGACAAGATCACAAAGAGAAAACAGTTTCTTGCCACTTTAACCAGAAAGGACACTCTCTAAATGACTTAGCCACCTGCATTCTGCTACAAAGACCTTTTACATCTGCACTTGAAAGGGAATCCTCTGAACTGTCATTCATGTTAAAATTCGACACTTACCACCAGGGACTTAACAAGTCTTTGAACTTTCTCACCCATTATCAAGACAGTTTCCCCAATTATCACCTGTAATACCATTAACTCACAAACATCCCACTCTCCCTACCTCTAATATCATCAATTCACAGACACTTACCTTCCTTCCTCCCCCTTCCCACCCCCCCGCCTCCTCCTTCTGTTCTGCAATGTGATTTGTCCTTTTCATATTTGTTCTTTTTTTTAATTGTATCCTTTGGTATATATGGTTGTGACTACTTTCTTCCACTATTTGATCTGAGGAAGTGGGTCTGGCCCACGAAAGCTCATCATCTAATAAACCATCTTGTTAGTCTTTAAAGTGCTACATTGTCCTGCATTTTGCTTAAATAATACAGGGTACTTCTCAGTGGTATTGCAGGAGCAGCTGGATCTCAAGGACCATTTCACCAACATCAAGCTGGATGGTCCAGAAAGGTGCATGAGTCATACATTCTTAGGAACTCTGATCACTTCAGAAAGATGCAAGCTGGAACTTTCTTCCCAGACCAGAAAATTACCATTACAGGCATTGAAATGCCAATAGTGAAGTTTGTAGACACAGCCTACCTCTCACTTGCATGGCTCATGGCCATACACAGGCAGCCTGGACTGCAGTAAGGAACAGGTCACCTGCAAGCTGAGCAGGTGTAGAATGGTGGTAGAATGTGCTTTTGGCCATTTCAAGGGAATATTTCACATTTTAAGTAGGTTAGACCTCAGCAAAAACAACATTCCCATTGTGCAGCCTGCTGTGTCCTCCATAATATCTGTGGGAGGAGGATTTTATGCCAGGGTTGAAGCAGATCTAACTACTAATAATGAGAAACTAGACATCTGGGCAAGAAAGAGATCACATCAAGGGGGACAGTCAGACACTGTGAATGACCAGGCAGCATGCATGTTTCTCTTAACAAGGTGACCTCTATATTGTGTGCTGGACTGTAATGCCTCCCTCCCCTGCTCCAACTCAAGTAAAGACACTGTTGTTGAGTTTGTCATTGGGATGTAGAATGACATAAGCCAAACACCAGATACTTAAAGAGTACTTTAAACCACTCAATCAGCTTCATTTAGCATAGTCACTAAAATGGACTATTCTTTTCCCACTTTCTTTCCTCCTTTCCCTCCCCATCTCCTCTTCTTCTGCTAGCTATTTGGAACCTGGACCCCTTAAACTCCATTCATCTGAAGAAGTGGGTTGTGCCTACAAAAGCATGTGATACCATCTATATTTTTTGTTACCCTTTAAGGTGCTGCAGGCACTACGTTTTTTTTCCCCACTTACAGATCAACACAGCTACCCCTCTAAAACTTTTGAAAATGTAAGGTCAAATTTACTGTTATTCGTTGTGAAAAGCAGGAGGACTGAAATAGACTTAACCGTCCGTAAAGTTGATGAAACAGGCTTATAGGTAGGGACTCATTTAGAAAAATCGACCTAATGCACCTAAGTTCAACTTAAACTTACAGTGTAGTGTGAACCAAGCCAAAGGGAAGAGACTTTGAAACAGACCAAGCCAGAGGACCAAGTGACAAAAGAAGAAATCACTCAAGGGCTCAACCACAGGGCACTAAATGACAAGTGCTATGCCATACCACAAGCAGTGAATCCACCATTCTTTCTGGACATGGAACTATAGGCCTCATCCAGTCTCTCAATGATTTAGTGAAGTTGAGCTTGCCCTGACTGAGATGACTATGCCATGAAACACTTGGATATACAAAGAAAATTTAACAGCGTTCAACTGATGAAGGAAACTATATAATTAACCCAAAATCTATAACTTGCTGTATTTTGTGACCCTTTACCTATGGGGTTTAGTTCTGTTAAACAAGATTATCTACAACACTGAAAACTTATAGGGCTTTTAAAGCAAAAGATTTGCAATATAGTAAGTATCTAACCGTTCAAGTTGTAAAAGGAATTCATTATAGCTAATCAAAATACATTTACTTACTCTGAAAATGTAGCATTGTTTGATAAGTAAATTGTCAAGATTTCAAGGTGAAAGTACGTATGTAACCACAAAACAAAGGAGACAACAACCTCCTCCTTGCCCCACTCCGCCAAGTATTTTGGTGGTTTCTTAATATAAGAAGTATCCATATCAGACACAGGTAAGTTTTAAAGAGATGGGCTATTTTTATTTTAAATAATCTGAGTAGCAGAAATATTTCCATAAGTGGTCTCAAACTCCACCCAAAGTATGTGAAGTTACATCATTTCCTGTATTTTCTACAACCTAAACAATGTAACAGTGAGCATCTTTGCCTATTTTATCTTCATTGTCCAAGCTTCAGTAAGCAACAACCCAGTGATAGGGTGCATCAACCACACACTGAAGGTGACAGAGTTATACTGGCAGAGAGAGCCCAACTCCCACAGTCCTGCTGGGCATACTCCCACTGGAGACTGATTATAAAAGCCTCTGCAGCAGCTCAGTTAAGGCCGACTGCTGAAGAGGAAGGAGGTGCTGAGGGTGCTCCAGGGGAGGAAGTGCATCTGGAACAAGGAGCAGAAGCCAGGCAAACAGAAAAGCCATAAAATAAGAGCACACAGAGAAGCCATCTACCAGGTACTGGTAGGAAGTAGGGCAGGGAATTGCTCCCTGAGCACTCAGCATGTTGTGGCAGGAGTCCCTGCCGAACAAGCAGTGGCCCATGCCACTGCCAACAAGGCGGGCCTGGATCCCCCTATCCACTCCTTACATACCCCCGTGTGGGGGCAGCTTCACCACTGCTGCAATGACTAAGGCCACAGAGTTGCAATGTTCTGAGTAGAGGGACTTCTGTATGGAGCTAGGTAGCAGGGCTGCAGTACCCTGACTAGAGGGCTTCTACCTGGACTAAGGCCACTGGGCCGTATTCTCTCTGATACGGGGGCACATATGATGACTGGTCACTGGTCTGTAATACCCTGAATACAGGGACACATATATTGTCTGAGGCCATTGGGACATACTATAAACAGACTTGGTGGTTTGTGAGGTCACTCAACCCAGAGAAAAAAGTTGACCTGCCGTCCCCCTCGACAAACCCAAATGGTGAATAGCTGAGCTTGTTGCTGGGCATCTTACAAGTGAAACAAACATTAAAGTTTAGCGACTTCTCCAGTTTATTAGTAAATGAAGATTCTTTTTATTGTAGACATCTTTAGAACTGGAAAGCTGTAGTGAATCATACAATATTTCCAAACAGCAGTGGTAAAAAGCATTGGCCTATTTAACAATTATGCTTTTTAGGTTCAGCTTGGCAATTATTCCTGCAGGGTTAATGATTATACCTTTCAGCACAGAAATGTTCCCAATCAACTAGAGAAAAATCTCATTTATAATCACCACACTTAGGAGTTTATTATTTATTTAAAAACAATGTTTGGGTGTTTAAAAAGAAATCATTCTTGAAAAACTCAATTAGCAATAAGATTGTAGACATGTTATACTTTAAATTAGAGCTTGCACTTAAGAGGACATTTAGTCCCAACTCTAAAAAGCACTCTTGAAAGGTCAAGTGAATAATAAATCGCTCTCCAGGTAGATTTTTGCCAAAGGCCTTAATAGACATCTAATTAGCATCAAAAGTAAAAGAGAGTGCAGAAACAATTTGTAAGGATAAACTGAAAACAAGAAAATACTGACTTTAGTAAACATTCACTCTCTTGTATAAGTGCAAACAAATGCACCTCTGCCAAAATATTCCTTTGAAAAGCATTTAACAAGGCTAATCTGATCTCAGGGACAGCAGGAGATTTGACCAACATGGACTTGGAACAATGTTCTTTGCAGCCAAATGGCCATACTTTTGGAGAGGCTATGCTTTCCCAAAGAGTGTGTGGTAAGAGCCTGCCTGAACATTACATTGTTTCCAAACAGATTCTCTCCCACAAACCATCTTCACTCTTTTTGTAAAGTCGAGGTTTCCTGTTTGGAAACAGGGAGAGATCTGGAAATGGATGTTCTTTTAAAAACATCAGTGTGGATCGAATGTGGGAAACAAAGTGCGGTGGTTCAGCCAGAGGTGACGTGGAAAGATTCTGAAAAAGACAACAGCATCACGAGCTATTTCTAACACGATGGATAAGAACACTGCAGGGCTACTGGGTGTCTAGTTTTAATGCACCCCCTTTTCAGTACTGCATAGAACAGCCTTTGGGACTAACAAAGCTAACAAGGCTGCATGCAGTTCCCCAACACAGTTCTGTAATGTCAGTTACCTGTAATATCTGTTTATCATCCTGCTCCAACCAGAAATCCACATGTGGAAAAGGCATCCAGAAGAAAGGTCCAATGTGGAGTTGTTCTGTCTTTGCATCATAAATATTAGTCATCTGCAATGGAGAACAGACTTTCATAGGGTTTCCCTACTGAAACTGAGCACAAGTGACCTGAACCCTCCATCACATTGAGCCAGCCACATGGGGAAGGGGAATGAGCTTAGAGCTGGCTCCACAGCTACTTCCCCCACCCTCTGAGATGCAGCATCTGTCCTAGGCCTTCAGACTATTCTTCAGTGTCTCCCTGCTCCTGTCCTGTTTTGCCATCTACCTCCCCTCCATTGCTTGCCTGGTTTCAGCTCCCTCATCCACTGCTATGCAGGATCTCCACCCTTGCTGCTACACACTCAACTCTTCCGCCCAACTCTGGCCTGGATCAACCCAATGATCAGACAAAATAGCTGCTTTGCACTTACCCATCCAAGGTTTGCCACTTGAGGTCTTGAACCCCAAATTCTGGCACAAAAGGCTATTTGACCCTTTTGTGTATTTCTATTGCTTCTAGGCCATAATACTGGGAACAGTACAGCATGTTCCCCTCTTATGGGCTAATAGACATGGGTCAAGATCCTGCAAATACTTCCTCCTGTGTGTTTTTCTTACTGGAGTCCTCATCCTTCGGGTGAAAGCAATGTCTTTAATGTAGTACACCTGCTTCTGAAGAGATCATCTGGACCAAAGAGCGCTGGGGTCAATTCCCAACTCTGCCACAGGCTTCCTATGTGACTTGAGCAGGTCATTTAGTCTCAATTCCAGGTCTGTAAAACTGGATTAACACCAGTACCCTTCTCTCACTCTTCATCTGCCAGGGACTGACTGTTGAGCATCCAGCACAACGGTACTCTGATCTCAGCTGAGGCCTCCCAGAGCTACTGTAATACAAATAATGAGCTGTGGCTTTGTTTCCAAATAGAATACTTGTCACCATTTTCCTTCAGATAGCAGCAGCTGATGTAGTACAGCTGGTAAATCCAATGTTCATACATTACTCCTCTTCTTATACCCCTGTTCTCCAAGTGGAGCATAGGTCATCTACAAGTCTCCTCCACTTCACTCTGTCTTGAGACAAAACTTCTAGCTGATTCTACGAGTACCCCAGTTGTTGTCCTTCAATCTCAGTAGATCTTCTCCACATTGTCTGAGGTCTTCCTCTTTTGTGTTTTCCTTGAAGATTCCATGTGAGAGCTTGACTGACTATGCTGGATGATGGTTTTCTGAGTCTGGGGCCTAGCCATCCCCACTTTCTTCTCTTGATTTGAGCATCAAGTGGTTCTTGTCCTGCTCTTTTCCAAAGCTCCTCATTTGTGACAGACTTGCCATTTGATGTGAAGGATGTACCTCAGGCATCTGTTTATGAACGTCTGTAGGTTGTGACTTGAAGACTTTTTAGTATGCCAGGTCTCGCATCCATACAAGAGTACACTCTTCACATGTGTGTTGAAGATTCGCAGTTTCATCTTTGCAGATATTATTTGTGAACTCCATACGGGACAGTCTTAAATGCAGCTGTTGCTTTCCCTATCCTAGCATTGATATCCTTGTCTTTTCCTCTGTCTCTGCCCATAATACTTCATTACTCATCACACAACCATAAACTGGCAGTATTAGATCATAATTACAGTAATTTCTCCTTAAAGGGTAATTATTTGTTTCTTACACTGTCAAAATATTAGGAGTATTTCTCTCAAGAATTGTTTCCTCACCACCAAAATATATATATTTGTTTTCACTCACTGTTGCTCCTGTTAATATACAGGCTGAACGCAAATCCTCATCTGGTCCCCTATCTGGAAAAGTTGCATGGAAAATCTCTGCTGTTTTAACATTCACAGCTGGGGGAAAAAATGTTTAAATAAAAGGACAGTTAACCAGTTAGGGCATGTCTACATTAGGAAATTATTTCAAAATAACTTATTTCAAAATAACTCCTGAAATAACAACATTGAAATAGCGTGTGCACACTACAGAGAAGCCTCAAAATTAGTCTGAGGCAGGCTCCTTTAACGTGGCTGTGCTACCTCGACTTAGAGCACCAGGAAACATTGGGAAGTAATTATTTCCTCCCCCCTTCCCCTGCTTCCCCACCCGAACAGAGCATTCTGAAACAGCAGCACTCTTTGGCTCAATAAAAATGAATTTCAGAGTCTGTCAGACACTGCTCTCAGACTATGACAGAGAAACATCTGGTAAGTTTCACTTTCTGGTTCACGTCTATTTTCACAGTGCTATTTGGTTGGGTTTCTAACAGTCTAGAGGAAAGTTTAAAGAAATATGGTCAATTTGAGGAGAGAATTAGTCCCAAAACGTTGCTCCTACAGTGGTATAAAGATTACTGAAACTGAAAGCAGAGGAAAAATCAAGAGAAGAGTACAAAGTCCACAAAACACATCAAAAAAGAAGGCTGGACTCCAAACAGACAAGACAGAGGAATGAGCAGTCTAATTCACTGTAGGTCAACAGTTCAGCTGAAAGGCATAAAATAACCCTTCAGGCTCTATGATCTCAGTAAAAGAGAAAAAAAAAACCAAACACACACACACACACACACACACACACACACACACACGCTCCTAAGATGACCTTTTCCAAATGTATTTCCCTAGCAAGAGTACATCTTCAGCATCTAGTAAAGCCAGTCTCTTAGTGACATGACGCTGTCCTACCAAAGTTAGCGTCAGAGCTACACTCGTCTGTGCACCATGATATTGTGTATCTCCTACATCGGGGTGGGGAACCTTTTTTGGGACAGGCGCTGCTGATCCACAGAAAAATCAGTTGGGAGCAGCAGGAATGGGGGGGGTGGAGGGGACAGGAGCACCAGCATAAGCTCCCCAATGCTGGGGGAGGCCCTAAGCCTCGGGGACAAGACCCAGGCAACCCAGCGATGCATACAAACCCCCAGGCCTTAGGTTCCCCACCCCTGTCCTACATTAATCTTGGCTGGCAAATGTGTTACCTTTACAAGTCTGAACAGCAACCAGCGTAAGACAGTACGCAAAGATGCGCTGTACTCACCTATTCCATAAATGATTGGGAAATGATTATCCTTTTCCTCTCTGTCATTTAATTCTGTTTCAAAAAGAACAAATGGGTCAAATAAACATGCTAACAATGGCTGGGCTATTTCCAAGCAGCATTAGTTTAAGTCATGGACGTACACAGGTCTTACCAAACAGCCCCCAAACAAACAAAACCAAACAGTGGGACGTGCAACAAAGCCGCCGCCAGGGAACTGAAGACTTAGCTTATAACCAGTGTCCCTTCTATGCTACATGGCAGCGCAAATGCACACGGGATTCATCAGCCCTGCCCAGTCAGCGGCTCAGACTCAAGGAGCGGGCTGATTAATCACCTGTGAAGCTGAACTGCCCTGCAGCTTAGAGGGAACACTGCTTATAACCTTGTTTAACCCACAAGAAATGAGTATTCATTTATGCTTTTGTGCCAATTATCCTGGTATACAGGACAAATTCAGACCCCGCCCGGGCAGTTCCATCTCAGAAGAATGGCAACTGCTTATGCCAGATCTGGATTAACTCTCTTCCTTGGTGGACATTTTCCACAGCACAGAACCAGATTGTGAAAAATCACCACAACACAGAACTCATTCCCATCCTGCCAGATCTGGGACTGAAACAGCTGCTCAGGACTAAAATGCATTGGCAAGGGCAGATGGGAAAAGTCTAAGTCATCTGTCCACACCAGAACTGGCTCAGATCAAGGCTATTCGCACCTCAGTTTCACATAGAATAGATTTATAAACAAAAAACCCACACTGCTGTAATGATGCCATGTTTCAAAGGTTTAAGCTACAGCCAGGGTGACAATACAACTCTTGTTCTCACGGATATTTTTTATGTATCCTCATTTTCAGACTTGAATTGGCTATGATGGAGGGAAAAGGAAAATAAAAGAACAGTAATTTAGGGGAATGTGTTCTCTAGAGTCATTCACTTCACTCATCTGGCTGCTGCAATACTGACTAAACAAACATATTAAATGCAGGAGGCAGGTCTAGTGTTGTCAACTGATCCTAGAGAGGTTTAATAGATTTCCTTCGCAATCACTTATCAGGGACCCCACAGAAACACAAACTTCTTCAGTCTGAGTGCTCTATGGACCACATGGGTGAAGCATGTCAGCCATTTCCACAGGCCCTATTAGCAACTGCAAGTTGTGATAGCACCCCTGGGAAGAGAAGTTCTAACCTAGCCATTGCCCTACCCGCTGTGGTAAATCACTACTTCCAGAATTCCGACTACAGCAGGGGTGGGCAAATACCAGCCTGCAGGCCTCGTCCTGTTCCCCAAGGTTAGCCCCTGGTGGTACAGCACCACTATATTTACCTGCACTTCCACAGGTACAGGTGACTGCAGCTCCCGTTGGTCACAGATTCCATTTCCAGCCAATGGGACCTGCAGAAAGTGGTGTCCCAGTCAGCACTACTTCCTGCATCTCCCATTGGCTGGGAATGGCGATCCACAGCCAACAGGAGCTACAATTGCCCATATCTGCAGAAGCATAGGTATATATAGCAGTGCGAGCCCACCAGTGGCTAACCCTGGCAAGCCACTGCTGTTTTATTGTCCACTCCAATCCAACTAACATGAGAGATCAGGATGGGACAGCAAAAACACTGTAGGAACTAAGCCCTCTTGTGCCTTGGGCTCACAGACTGACGTACATTACACACCAGATGTTTCTCGTAAAATGAAGAGCCTCACATTTTTCAAAGACTAAACACATTTTTACAAGAGGGGAAAACATGAAAACTCTTACCTGTCACACAGAAAGTCACTAAATGGACATCATCTTGCAGGAGATCAAATGCTCCTACAGCAACCACAGAAGCAGAAAGGTATAAAACTGATTCATGTCAAAGCACGCGCTGCACTTAAATTATGGGGTATATCAATGCTAAGCACTGCAGATTAGATGTGAGACTCATTACCATCAGGCTCCACTCCAGAACCCATCCCACCCCCTCCCTACAGAGGTCCTTTTATCCTGTCTTCCTAATACGGGAGCCAGCTCCATTCCTGGGACAGCCTGTGTTGGCTGTCCGGCCACTCCCAGGGTGGGTGGGGGAGGGGCGGGATTTGAACCCACCACCCTGGAGAGCCCGCTCTACCTCCCTACCTTCAGAGGATCCCTTATCCTGCTTTCCCAATGCAGGAAGTCCCACTCTGCTATTCTTGATACAGATAATGGACCAGTGTGCAATTTCCAGATGTCTCATAAAATAAAGAACAAGGTAATGAAAGAGAAACTTACTCACCATGATATGAGGAGTCTTGTGGCACCTTAGAGATTAGCAGACTTATGCATTCCTGGGTAAAACCCACTTCATATGATGAAATGGGTTTTACCCAGGAAAGCGTATTCCCTAATAAATGTCAGGATGCGTCTACACTGCACCCAAACTCGAAATAAGATACTCAATTTGCGCTACACAAATTGCATATCTTATTTCAATTCTATTTCAGAATAGGTTATTTTGAAATTTGGCGCATCTACACAGCACGTTATTTTGAAATTTGACATTATTTCAGCTTAGGGGTGCTGAAATAGCACACCCGTTATTTTGAAAAATATTTCAAAATAATAGGTGGCTTGTGTAAACGCAGGGTGACTATTTTGGGATACCTCCGGTATTCTGAAATAGATGTATCCTTAGTCTCTAAGGTGCCACAGGACTCTTCATTGTTTTTGCAAATACAGACTAACAGGGCTACCACTCAGACTATATAACAGTAATTTACACAACTGGTCGTTGACAAGGGCAGAAAGATGTTAACAAGAGCCTTGTGCTATCAATATTTTACTCCTTTTACAAGCATTCGGTTATTAAGGTAGGTGTGGTATTGGGATCTCTGGGCTAGTTGTTACAAATTTAGCATGGTACATTTCATTAGTAAGACCTATTTTATATGTGGGTAAATAAGAAGAGAGAAGAGATTTGCCCAAGATCATACAGAATGTTAGTGGCAGTATTCCTCAGTACCCCCTCTTTAACAGATAGATCAGGAACAAATTACTATTAAAAAGTCTCTCTTTACATGTGGCAAAAATCTCACAGCATCACCCCCATGTATGCACTTCACATTTCCAAATGGAAAAAAATTCAAATGCAAAAGTTTTTCTACTGTATAACTGAGGATTGAGATTACACATACTCAGACCAAATCCAGCCAGAATTCTAGTTTTTGGACATGAGAACGGAAAAAATGTGAACTTACTAAGAAGCTGATTAGTAAGTTTTTGTGATAACTGCCTATCATCTTTGAAACCTCCAACTAGATGAACTTCCAGCCTAACAAATAGAGATGGAATAACAGGAAACAGCAATTAAAAAGGCATCCTAAAGTGAATAGCTTTTCAATACAATCCCCAGTCCCCACTGTACAGTGATCATTTATTACAGTCACATGTGCCAACTGATTGTGTATTATCTCATGACCTAATGTGAGTAACTCCTTTGTTCTGGACACTATAGCCAAGTGACTATCAAATGAGCAGCACAGACTAAGGACTTGAATCAGAGAGGCACTGAACATGTGCAGCTACCATTGAACTTGATAGGATTTTTAGGTACTCAACTCCTATTGGTCCTGCCTTGGGCAAGCGGCTGGACTTGATGACCCCCTGAAGTCTCTTTCAGCTCTATGATCCTTGCAGGACCGGATCTTAAAATTACAAAACTTCTCAACAAAGATGAATTAAATGTGCTGCAATGATTCTCTTGGAACTCACTCACACCTTAATATAGGAGTGTGAGATATGTATGTTAAAATTATAACTCCTCTTTCACTCTGTATGTCTGTTCTCTGTGGCCAAGCTTTTTAAAACTGACATGTGATTTTCAAGTATCCAATTTCAGATACCATTAAGGGATCCAATTCTCAAAGTTCTGAGTATCCCCCAGCTGAAAATCAGGCCTCTTTAGGTATTTCAAGTAAGATTTTCAAAAGCTACAACTTGCTTGGAAGTCTTCAAACACGGTGTATTCAGTATTGTATCTGCCAGTTTTGCCTCGCCAAGTCAAAAAGGGGAAACACAAGCAAAAGGAATTGAGCTGAATTCTTTTCTGACTCCCAGAATAGCTAGAATTGATAATAAATTTGATTCAGAATCTTTAATTGTTTTATGTGCAAGCCAGAAACTCCCAGACTAATTCAGATTCCAGGATGAGTTTACAGGATCAACAGGTTTTTTTAAAGCAAAAATCCATTTACGAAGCACATTGACAGAAGTCACTGACACACAAACATAGAAACTCACAGTGGCACTTTCACAGAGCAACTATATGAAAAACCACACTTTAAATTAAATCACTGCCTAGAGAACTACAAAAAATAACAAATGCAAACTTTGACGGTGCCTAGTAAAACAAACAATGAAAGCTACTCGTCCTGTAACAATGCCAATAGGCAAAATGAAAAATCATTGCAAAAACAGCACCTTATTGAGATCTATTTTACTAGCCTGGCTCAGCAGACACCAAACTAGAATTCAGAATTTCCCACCTTACATACAACAGTGACCCTTGTGAAATACCATACACAAGACATGATATAGATGAGATGAGCTGACCTTCCACATTCTGTGTCATCAGAGAGAGATTTTACTGCATTCATAATCAGCGACACCTCAGCTTGGGTGTCTGATCCATCACAGTGTGTCAAGCAAGTAGCCCCACTCCCTGAAAGGCGAGGAAGAAAAAAAATCATTTAGCTGATCACCAGGGCTGCATTAAGGGGGGCGCCAACCTATGGAGGGCACCTGTAAGACGCTTAGAGCTGCCATCAGGCGCCGTGCACCCGGGGACCATGCAGTGCCCCTTAGAGCTGCAATCAGGTGCTGCACGCCCGATTGCAGCTGTAAGATGCGCAGCGTGCCGGGGGGTGGGGCTGCGCATGTGCCGTGTGTCTGGGGGTGCAGCCGCGCATGCATCACACGCACCCGCTGCCCGGGGCACAAGAATGGCTAGAGCCGGCCCTGCTGATCATAGCACCAGGCAACAACAAAAACTGTGTCATTCTGTAAAGCATGTTATACAAACAGATACACCACACCCAGATTTCACAGGAAGAGAAACTGACACCAAAAGGAACTGAGTGACTTGTCTGATATCACGTGCTCCTGTGCTGTCTCCATAAGAACAAGGGACTGGGTTGTCTGCTCTAAGGCCTTGTCTATTCTAAAAACGTGATGATTACCAGGTAACAATTAACCATTATCCAGGAGCAGCCCCACGCTTCTGGGGACGTGTGTGTGGAGGAGTCGAAAGCAGCAGTGGGGACAGGGGACTTGCTGGGCTAGAGCACATGGCCAGATGCATGGGGTCAGAAGCAGCAGTGGGGCCCAGCATGGGGTCGGAAGCAGCTGAGCTAGAGCAGCCCCTGCCTGCTACGTAGGGGCCCCTCCAGCTTGTCACAGTATAACATTATTACAGAGCCATTATTCGAGAACCATACATCTAATAGCCTAGGTTTCCTTTATGTTACCTGTGTGTCTGAGCACCACCAAGTGGCAGGTCGTTGCATCATCAGACCCAAGAATGGAAACAGAAGCTGTTTTAAAGAAGAAAAATACAGTAAGAGCTTTGCCATCATGCCTGTTGCTTCAATAGCTAACAGTATTGCATCCCCACGTACCATCTTTAGGGGTGGTCACTGCAAACTCTCTTTGCTGGATGTATAAAAGTCCTTTGGGTCCCACTATTTGAGCAGGTTGGCCTCTTAGAACTCTTGCTTTCTCCTGTAAATAAATGGCACACAGACTAAAATGGCTAAAAAGAGCAGGTACCACAAGTACAATGGGCACTGACCAGTGTTCCCTATAAGGTGAGAGCTTGGGCAGCCACACAGGAGCATTTCAAATGCTGCCTAGCTGATTAGCAGAGCACCCACAGCCATCATTATGTTTTTCTACTGGTGGTGCACCTCTGCATACACCTTGGTGCACAAAACAAAATGTATTCAATACAGAGATGGAAAAAATTAGAGGGAACACTGGCACTGTCCCAGCCAGGACTATGAAAAACAAAGTGAGCCAGGTGGCAGTTCAGGGAAGACTGAGTGCTGAGGTAGACCATAAATACTTATATTTCATGGTATTCTACACCTTCAGTAAGCAAAAGAGAGGCCAAAGATTTGGAACATGGGATGGATATCAGCAGAACAAGTGTGACTAGTTTCCACAACAGTCAAGTATACAATCGTGAGTTTTGGAAGAAGGCTATAAAAGTAATTGACGCCAAAGAGGGATGTGACAAGAAAGAAGAAGAATGTTTTACATCTTTGAAGCTCTTTTCCAAACATTAATCAGTTAATTGTCAGATCACCCCAAACACAAAGACACTGACACCTCCACTTTAAAAATGGAGACAAAAGGACTTGAGCAAGGCCACATAATTATCAAGGGCTGAAGTTAGCAGTTTCTGGCTCCTATCTCACTGTGTTCGGTCTAGTACTATGATTACACCAGTTAAATTTAATATTTACTAGCTTCCCTATAGATATCATCTTGGATGCTTTTAAGATAAATTCACAAAGGATAATTTTTGAAGGCTTGACTGAACCTTACACACATACACCAAATAGCATGATACATGAATAGTCCTGCTAAAGTCAAAAGTACTCTTTGTGGGGGAAGGTCCTGTTCAGGATGGGTAAGGTAATCACAATCCAGAGCAAAAATATCAGAATATATGAACAAAATAATCTACATGATTATCTGTACGTTGTTTTTGATTAGTTCATTCACTATAAATCTTTATTATATTAATACTAGAGAATTACTATACATAAGCCTCCTATTTGGAGAATAAGCAAGAGTCTATTGTACCAGAAGCCCTGGATTAATCAAATGGCTCTGGGTCTCCATATTAGTAGCTGTCTGAAGTAGGAGCACAAAAAGTACCTTCCCCTCCCCGCTTAACTGGTAAGAAATTGCTCGTGCTGGTTTAAACACTGTAGAGGACTAAATGGTATTTGTTCATCTGTCTTCCACAAAGTATTATGTAACCTTCCTTTCTGTAAACCAAAGTGTTACTGTTAGTGGGTACTCTGTTTCCTGAAGCAGAACATACACACACACACACACACACATCATTCAACACTGATTTACTTTAATATTCAAATCACAGACTTGAGTCTGTTTTATTCTAGCAATGTCTAAGACTAGCTATACATAACCAGCTTTGGGAGCTGCAGGGGCTCAGTACCTGAAATAATCTAGCCAGACACTTACTAATTTTGTTAACTGGGCTTAATGATTCGACAGGACTTTTCCATTTCTAGTGGCTACAACAACGATAGCATTCCCTAGTGCTGGAAGAGGAGAAGGTAAACCTGGGCCTTTTTGTTTGTTTCTTGATAATGCAGGAGGACCCCCACGTCAGAGCACCCTGACCCAGGGCTTCTGGGCTGCCAAGACCACTGGGAAGCGCCCCGCCCCTCCTAGCCTGCAGGTCATTGGTGAAGGGGGCGCCCAGTCCGCACACTGCTCCGCCCCTCCCCGAGCCGGCACGAACCGACCCCTCCTCGGCAGACTTGCGGGGGGGGCCCGCCCCTACCTCCAGGTGCGGGTAGCTGTGGATCACGTCCCCCGCAGGCCGGGCAAGGTCGATCCGCTCCCCATTAACCAGCAACGGCATCCTTGGGAAGCGCCCGCCCCTGGGCTGCAGGACGAGAGCAGCCCGCTGGGAGGGAAGGCTGCGCTGTGCTGGTATCGCAAGGGTTTCTGGGAGATGTAGTCCGATGGAGAAACCCGGCTGAGAGGAACTCAGCGGCAGCCGCGCGCGTGCCTGATGCACAAGCCTGCGAACCCGGCTGCAGCTAAGGGCGGGGAAGACACTGGCGCACGTAAGACCACGTGACCGCCACCCCGCGAGCAGCATCCTCGCTTCTCGTAAAGCGAAACGTGCAACCCCAGCAGAGCGAGGAACGTTGTGGGGCAGCGCTAGGGCCGCCGCAGAGCTCGCAGCTGCCACCTCCGGCACAGGCCCCACCGCGCTCCAGCAGGGCTGCATGGAACATGGAACTAATAGAAACTGCGGGGGGTGGGGCCAGCGGAGTATAAGAATCGATCTTGGACTCCACCCATGACGGGGGCTTTGGTTTGCTCATGCAGAATCCCGTTATTCACCCAAGCAGGGCACAGATACTCAGCAGACCCAATTTTCTACAGGCCAGTAAAAAGTAAGTTGCCAGCTGGTTTAACCAAAAATACCGACACCCCCCTTCCCCCCCAAAAAAAAACCCCACCAGGGAAAACATTCTGTTGAAGGAGGGGGGGAACTAAAGTTGTTGAGCCCCCCCCCCCCCCCAAAAAAACAAGTTATAAATAAACAAACCAGCATGGCCCCTTTAAGTGCATGCAGAGTCTAAATAGGGCTCGGAAGAGGAGAGGTTGAGCAGTAAGACCCAGGGAAGGCGTTGCTTTCCCCTTGCTCAGGTCTTGAGGCTTTTTGCAGGTGGCCATCTTGTTTTCTTGGTCAAGCCAGAAGGGAGCTTCCCTGCGGAACCAGGGAGGGTTGGGGGCTGGGCCCAGTTGTTGAGTGTGTCAGTGTTGCCAGGTGTCCAGTATTTTTTGATTTTTTTTTTTACCGGACAAGAGGCAAAAATACCAGACTGGGTCAATACCAGACACCTGGCAACCCTAGGGGCAACCATTTGTATCCTGTCTTTCTAGAAAGACACACAGTGCATGTACAGATTTTCTCCCCTCTTCCCAATCCACACATTTTCGGGTTGTAACATCCAGGCTGAAACCTTAGCACAGTATGTGAAACTACAAGTTTCAAACCTTAAAAGCAGTAAATAAATGCTTGAGTCATTCAGAAATATTTATTTAAAGCCAGGTATTCATAGTCATTCCCCACTTCCTATATACTGGCTTGGTATCTGCACCAAGTCTACACATCACAACCTCATTTTTTAGGGCTTAAGTCAGACCTTGTACAAGAAGTGATCATGTGGTTTTCACTGGTCTTAAGCCTCTAATTTGCTCCCCCTCCCCCCAAAACAGCTAGTGGAATCAGACATAATTACTAAAATATGAGTTGCCTTGGAAGGGGCCTTCAAACTGATCAGCAAATTGACATGAATGAGGTCTTAGTGTATCCAGAGGGAGCTGATTCCATCCTATCATCTCTGGCAGACTACACCACGTCATATATTTTCAAATTAATTTAGCAGAGGTACATATCCCCAAAACTGACATCCTTTTCAAAAGACACAAACATCATATACTATATGATAATCACTGGGCTATATATCTAGTTAAAAACCTAAGATGTTGGGGGGAGGGGGGGAGAGAATCTAGACTTCCTCCTCTCATTCCTCCAGACAACTGTATTCTCTCTACAGTTTTGCCCAGCAGAGTATAAAACACATATAGCAAAGTGCAGCTTAATAAACTTGTTAGTCAAGAGTTGTTGCCTCTTTTTGTAATGGTTATAAAAGCACTTTTGTTTAAAATGGAAAAAAAAAAACCAAGTAAAGAGAATGCAGTGTCCCTTATCTTTGTGATCATATATAGCCTTAACCAGGGGATTTATCATAGACTGAGACACAAACATTGTGGGAGCCCTTTGTTAAAATATTGCTTATACAGAAGATCCCTGATTATGAATTTTAAATTAAGATCTGGTGTTGATTGCCTGACTAGCTATGACAACTGAATCTGTGCTCATTTTTTAGCATTACAATTTCCAAAATGTCCCAAAATATGGGTTTAGATATAAAGCAAATATTTTTCTAGAGCTAATAAAGCATGTACATAACACGCACACCCTCAGATCACGTACAAGATATAACAATCAAACTTCAGGTAGTCTGAGTTAGTCTGTACAGGATAAACTTAAAAAACAACATATGGTCTGGTAGCACTTTATAGACTAACAAAACATGTAGATGGTATCATGAGCTTTTCATGGGCTCAGCCCACTTCTTCTGATGACCGGAGTTTTGAGTTTAGGATATGCAGACCCAAAATAAATAGGGGAGAAGGGGGTGGGGGGATGAAAAAAAAGGAAGAGGGCGGGAAACAAGGAGCAGAGAGTATGAAAATATCAAAGGGTACGTTTAGACTACAAGCCTCTTTCAACAGACAGCATCTAGACTGCAATCACTTCTTTCGAAAAAGTGAGCTGTTTTTTTGAAAGAGAGCACCCAGGCAGTCTGGATGCTCTCTTTCGAAAAAGTCCTATTTGCATTCAAGAACGCCTTTTTAGAAAAAAGGCATTCTTCCTCATAAAATGAGCTTTACCACAGTTGAAAAAACTGCCATGTTCTTTTGATTTAATTTCAAAAGAACATGGTGGCAGACTAGATGCAGGGGAAGTTTTTTTGAAAAAAGGCCACTTTTAAAAAAAACAAAAAACAAAAAACCCTGTAGTCTAGACACCCAAAGGGAAAAATAAGTAGGCAGAACTGGTAACCTATAAGCACCTAAGATTGGATAGTTAAAAGAAGCAGGGTGGGTATTTCAGTTTTAGGAATGCTGGAGAAGTGAAAAAACAGATTGACAGAGCCAAAAAAAGTACCCAGATATGAACTACTTCAAGACAGACCCAAAAGAGAAAAACAACAGAATTCTTGTCATTACCTACAGTCTACAACTCAAACCCATCCAACGCATTATACACAATCTGCAACACATCTTGGAAAATGATCCCTCACCCTTAGAGGCCTTGTAGGAAAAGCCTATTCTCGCTTACAGACAACCCCCAACCTGAAACTAATTCTTTCTGGTCATCATGCTACACAACCACATCATAAGCATCCAGGAACTCACCCCTCAATCAGCCGCGGTGCCCACTCTGCCCACATATCTATACAAGCAAATTCATCACTGGAGCCAACAAATTAAGCTACCAAATCAAAGGCTCATTTAACTGCACATCCACTCTGCCATCAAATGCCAGCAATGCCCCATTGCTATATATATGGGACAAACTGGACAGCCCCTACAGGGAAGAATTAATGGACACAAATCAGATATCCATAAAGGGAACATACAGGAAACCTGTTGTAGAACATGTCAATCTACCTAATCACTCTTTAAAAGATCTCCAGGTGGCTGCCTTGTCACAAACCAATTCTACAAGCCAAATACACAGAGGCGCGTTGGGTTGGAATTACAATTCATCCACAAATTCAATTCTCACACTGATGACGGATGGCTAGGACATTATCAACCTAACATTCCATGAAGGTGCCAACAGCTCTTTGTGTAGATTCTTGCTTTAGTATCCTTCCTATCTAATTGCTATTCTATGATCCTTATCTGTTTGTTTTAACTATGCAATCTTTAGGCACTTATAGGTTACCAGTTCTGCCTACTTGTTTTTCCCTTTAATATTTTCATACCCTCTGCTCCTTGTTTCCTGCTCCCTTCCTTTTTCTTCCTTCTCCCCTATTTATTTTGGGTCTGCAAATCTTAAACCCAAAACTCCGGTCATCTGAAGAAGTAGGCTGTGCCCACGAAAGCTCATGATACCATCTATATGTTTTATTAGTCTATAAAGTGCTACCAGACCATCCGTTGTTTTTTAAGTTTAAGATACAGCAATGTTAGCCAAAAGAAAAAGCAGGCATTATATGTTTTGGAAAAAGTCTTATATCTGAGTTCACTGAGCAGTGGTTGAGAATGTTAACAAAGCCATTGGTGTCATCAGGAAGAATACAAACTTTTTAATCACTTTGGAATCATCCTAAATGTTTGCTTAAGACAAGTACGTTCATGTTGGGAGATAAGGTAGATTATTTCAATTGCAATTTTCTTTTTATTGTTCTGTAATGACAGCAGAAGTGGTGAGATTTAAAACGCAAAAAAACCCAGTTCATATATAGAAACAGAAACATGAATTTTGTCCTATCATCCCCAAGCCCTTCTGTCAAACAAAGTCTCTACTTCAGTCTTTCAGAAGTAACATGCCAAATTACGTGCTTCTGAAAACCATTCTACTATATCCTGTGTCATCCTCCAGTGGCTAGACCACATACAGAATTCCATTTATTTATGTCTAAATCTATGTTTTGCAAGTATCTCCATATGTCAAGTTTATTATAATTCCCACCTTATGCTCAAATCTTGAAAATTTAACAATTAAGAGTCCAAACAAAAGGTCAGACCAGTGGAGGTACACTGATGTAAGATGAGAATTTGCCCCCAAAATACTTATTATACTATTTCCAAACAGGATAAACTCATACTTTTTTTAAAAAGTGTTTGTAATCAAATACTGTGCAGATATTTCGAGTCAATTTTACAGTAATTATTTACATATGTACTCACACCTCTCCTGCCTAAAAGTCCAATTATGCAAAACAAAAACTACTATTTGGGGAAAGAAATAACCTGGAGTGACACATGAAGAGAATTGTATCTTTTCCTTTCTATAAACAAAGTGGGGTTTTTTGTAGTTTCACAGTTCACATTTAAATATCAAGTTTCAAAAATAAATACCTACCTCAGAGTCCTTTTCATCCACAGAACTCAAAAGCATTGCACATTTCTTGAACAACTGACTACATATGATATGATTGCACATTAAGCTGCTTTCATGTCACTTTCAAAACTGACAATTTTCTGAGGTGCTGAAAGTCTAATCTTTCACACTTAAGCCATGTTTGTTCCAACAAACTCTTACACAGTGATAATAGCACCTTTCATCTTTTATCTATTTTACCAAGTACCTCCACTCTATCCATAGATAGAATCAGCTGAGGAAAAGAAGCTAAATGACTTTGTCAAAGGTCAGACGGAGGCAATGTCAAGCTGAAATAAGAATGCAAGCACTAATTCCCCATCCTATTTACTTATTAGAAAGATAACTTAACACATACCCAAACAAAACATAATTAAACATTAAGAATGAAATGTTAGTCCCATTATAATCAATAAAAGGGGCCAGAATTTCACTTAGTGTGTAAATCCTTATAGAGAAACCAAACTAGTCAATTTCACTTAGTGTGTAAATCCTTATAGAGAAAACATAATTAAACCAAACTAGTAAAGAAAAATTATAAATTATGTAAAAACTATTTCAATATGAAAATTGCAAAATATGGTTTATTCTCTAGCCTTTTTTAGAATGTATCAAATTAATTAGAACACATCTCTGTAGAAACCTAACCACAATTAAGAAAAAAATAGAGTCTTTTTTC